GTAGCTGATGACAATATAAATTGGTATTCGCCATACAGTTTACTTGACGGCAATGCATAGACACTGGCACTCCTGCCTACTTTTTATCGAATTCTGTCACGGGTTCTCGTATGTGCACGCCCACGTGTACGCGGGACCGCGGCTTTCGTCCCATCCGAACGATTAACCCCTGTGCTTGCTATTCACCTCGTCCTGCATGGGGAACAAGTATTTAACGTCAGTGAATTGTTTTCATCCGGCTGACAGATATGTTTTTTTTTATATAGGCAAGAAATAAAACCCAAAACAAGCATAATCTTTTCGCCCAGAGGATTTCTTCAGCGGGATAAAGATTTTATGTTACAGACGAAAGAGGAACAATATACTATTAAAATAAAATTTATTTTAGAAAATCAAAAATTACATTTACATTTCATCAGAAAAATATAAAGAAAAACAAATCTCGAACATCAAATCTCCAAATACAAATCTTGCAAAACATTTGTCAAAAATTCAAAATACAATTAACAAATCTGAAATGACAGATGTCTGATTTATAAAACAAATATTGATTTTAAGATACAAAATTAATGTTAATTTTAAGATACAAAATTAATGTTAATTTTAAGATACAAATGTTAATTTTAAGATACAAATGATAATACAAATGTTAATTTTTAGATACAAATGTTAATTTTAACTTTAGCGGGGATATCTGTAATAACTTTTTGTTATTGCCACCGCCTTACGATACCCATGGAGGGGTTGAAATAGTTATTTATAGATTGATGGCCATCTTATATAATAATACAGTTCGCGAATTTTGATTTAACGATATGTAATGATATATAAGGATTAAAATGTACACAAAATACTTTGTCGTGAGTTTTATTTATGTAGAGAGAGAGAGAGATGAGGTTTAACGTCCACTAGCTTAGGTCATTTCAATAATTCGCTTGTGTGTGTGTGTGGGGGGGGGGCTTTAGCAGTGGGATGACCCGGAGAAAACACACGATTCTGGACAGGCGACCCTACTTCTTGTCACGTACAACCGGGTACTCACATACACGAGTTATCTCCCTTCAGGCGAGTGAGCGTGAAACTCCGATTTGGGCACAAAGCAGCGATGCTTCTTAAATTCAACTAAATTGTTATTTTGTGTTTCCAAGGTCAACATTTTGTAGTTATTGGTTGTTATTTTGGTGTTATTGGGCAGTTATTGGGTGTTATTGTGTAATTCGACGTGCCGCCGTATTTTACAATAAAAAAAATAATAAGAGTGTTGGATTTAGATTTTTTGAAATGGCATTCTTGAATTAATTTCATGGGCGTCAACATTTTGTTTATGATAATGTAAAAGACCGGATAATCTAGACAATGACGTATTATTGTCAAATGTTGACAACGCATCCAGACTAATATTCGTAGACTACAAAACAGTATGCCAATGTCAATTATGACGAACATTTATTTTGTTTCAGTGGATTGGGGGTGTGTGTTGGTCATATGCAATCTTGTATATTAAAGATACATTATTGGAGATTAGATAAAGAGCTGGCAGTTCTCACTATAAAAGTTAAAAACAAGATAATGTAACGGGTATTTGCTGACAATTTCAGTCAAATTGATCCACTCTGAACCGAGCATTTAGAGATTTAATTTTCGGCCTAGCCTCGATCATCATTACTAAAGTCGGTACGATAAAAACATAGATTCGTCGATTATTCATTTCATGATTTAATCATGAATGAAAGTTGAGCAGCAAATCGGATGCTAATCCAGTAAATATCGCAGACTAGCGATGATATCGAGAGTTGATTATGGTCTGGATAAGTTAATTAATGTCTAATTAATAATTTAGATAACATTTTAGGCCCAAATAAAGTCCTGTAATAGAACGATTTAGATCTTGCATAATGTATGCATGTTGCATGACAAATTATATACACCACAATATCTATATATACACTAAGCCTTTAAATATCACTTTAAAACATTTATAGTCACTAAATAAACGGTCTTGTTGTACTTAATAAGCTATGACAATTTCATCATCCATAAATAATACACTGAAAGATGGTTCCGAGTGTCGGCCATAACATCCGAGCACATGTGAATAAAAATAGGTGGCGCTATTGCACTTTCGTACCTCTACCAGTTCCCGTAGTCATAGGCACTTGAAATTTTCAGAGGATGTTACGGGGGGCTAGCAATGACCACACACCAAATTTCAGTCAAATCGATAAATAACTTTTTATTTTACCGACCTTTTAATTTCTAACGAGAGAGAACTTCATCCGTTTGACGCCATTTGCTTTGTTTACTAATTAGACTTGAATAACAAGACACTAAGACGGAAACCGACTCGAATAACAAGACACTTAGACGGAAACCGACACACTGCACTAGCTGCCTAACACAGCAGTTCATAAAAATTAATATAATTTTCGTATACTTTAATTTTTGCGCGAAGCCACCATTTTCTATAAAATACTATTTGGTGTTGATCAGTGGATTGGCCTTTAGGTGTGAATATTGCCGTGACCTTGATTTTGACCTTGAGGCCAAACTTCCCATCCATATCGGGGCCTTTGCGTTTATGCTTGCCGTGGCCTTATTTCCTACTGTATTATCAAAGTTAATGTTCGAGGTGAAAGCAGAGATGACGTCCTTCAGAAAAGATAATTGGGTTAAAGTCGTAGGTCAAGGTCATGTTACAGAAAACTAAACTCAAACTTTTCAAAGTCATTTTTGGGACATTTGACCTTGACTTACGACCTTGACCCCGTAACCATTTTCGAAGGCTATCACATTGGCTTGAATCATGAACGTTTACCTTGGTCCTATCGCACACTGCTCGGTCAGAAAACGGTCAAACGCAGAGGGTCCGTGTCCGAAAGGAAGTCAATAGGCGTGGTCAATGTGAAAGGTCGTGGTGACCTCCACTAGTCACCGTTAACCATCCGTAACCTTGACTCTGACCGTGAGTCCAAACGTCCCATCCATCTCGGGCCCTTTGCGTTTATGCTTGCCGTGGCCTTATTACTAACTGTATTATCAAAGTTAATGTTCGAGGTGAAAGCAGAGACGACGTCCTCCAGAAAAGATAATTGGGTGAAAGTCGTAGGTCAAGGTCATCTTACAGAAAACTAAACTCGGACTTTTCAAAGTCAGTTTTGGGACATTTGACATTGACTTACGACCTTGACCTCGTAACCATTTTCGAAGGCTATCACCTTGACTTGAACCATCAACGTTTACTTTGGTCCTGTCGCACACTGTTCGGTCAGAAAAGGGTCAAACGCAAAGGGCCCGTGTCCGAAAGGAAGTAAATGGGCGTGGTCAATGTGAAAGGTCGTGGTGACCTCCACTAGTCACCTTTAACCATCTGTGACCTTGACTTTGACCTTGAGTCCAAACTTCCTATCCATCTCGGGCCCTTTTCGTTTATGCTTGCCGTGACCCTATTTCTTACTGTATTATCAAAGTTAATGCTTGAGGTGAAAGCAGAGACAACGTCCTTCAGAAAAGTTAAAAGGTCAAAGTCGTAGGTCAAGTTCATGTTACAGAAAACTAAACTCAAACTTTCAAAGTCAGTTTTGGGACATTTGACCTTGACTTACGACCTTGACCCCGTAACCATTTTCGAAGGCTATCAACTTGGCTTGAATCATGGGCGTTTACCTTGGTCCTGTCGCACACTGCTCGATCAGAAAACGGTCAAACGCAGAGGGGCCCGTGTCCGAAAGAACGTCAAAGGGCGTGGTCAATGTGAAAGTTCGTGGTGACCTCCACTAGTCACCTTTAACCATTCGTGACCTTGACTTCGACCTTGAGTCCAAACTTCCCATCAATCTCGGGCCCTTTTCGTTTATGCTTGCCGTGACCCTATTTCTTACTGTATTATCAAAGTTAATGCTTGAGGTGAAATCAAAGACAACGTCCCTCAGAAAAGATAATTGGGTCAAATTCGTAGGTCAAGGTCATGTTATAGAAAACTGAACTCAAACTTTTCAAGGTCAGTTTTGGGACATTTGACCTTGACTTACGAGCTTGACCCGTAACCATTTTCAAAGCCCATCATCTTGGCTTGAACCATCGACGTTTACCCTGACCCTGTCCCAAAAATGAAATAAGGTCACGGCACGCATAAACGCAAAGGGTCCGAGATGGATGGGAAGTTCGGACTCTAGGTCAGGGTCAAGGTCACGGATGGTTAACGGTGACTAGTGGAGGTCACTACGACCTTTCACATTGACCACGCCCATTGACTTCCTTTCGGACACGGGCCCCTCTCCGTTTGACCCTTTTCTGACCGAGCAGTGTGTTACAGAACCAAGGTAAACGTCCATGATTCAAGCCATGGTGATAGCCTTCGAAAATGGTTACGGGGTCAAGGTCGTAAGTCAAGGTCAAATGTCCAAAAAATGACTTTGAAAAGTTTGAGTTTAGTTTTCTGTAACATGACCTTGACCTACGACTTTGACCCAATCATCTTTTCCGAAGGACGTCGTCTCTGCTTTCACCTCGAACATTAACTTTGAAAATACAGAAAGAAATAAGGCCACGGCAATCATAAACGCAAAGGCCCTGATATGGATGGGAAGTTAAGACTCAAGGTCAAAATCAAGGTCACGGCAATATTCACACCTAAAGCCAATCCACTGATCAACACCAAATAGTATTTTATAGAACATGGTGGCTTCGCGCAAAAATTAAAGTATACGAAAATTATATTAATTTTTATGAACTGCAGAGATAGGCAGCTAGTGCAGTGTGTCGGTTTCCGTCTTAGTGTCTTGTTATTCGAGTCTAAATAGTAAACAAAGCAAATGGCGTCAAACAGATAAAGTTCTCTCTCGTTAGAAATTAAAAGGTCGGTAAAATAAAAAGTTATTGATCGATTCGGCTGAAATTTGGTGTGTGGTCATTGCTAGTCCCCCGTAACATCCTCTAATAATTTCAAGTTCCTACGACCACAGGAACTGGTAGAGGTACGAAAGTGCAATAGCGCCAAATAGGTTACGTGGCCTTGTTTTGAAAGTAGTCTCGCTTAACCAGTCTGCCGACCATTCTACGTTTGATTAACAGGCCGGAATAATCAAGACTTCTTTTTTACGAAACATAACAGAAAGCTAGAACAATAAATTGAATTTAGAAACATGCTCGTTGGGCAACTCAACAATTGTTTTAAGAACCTTGTAAAAGTAAAATGAAACTACTGCTAGTATCATGTTCTTGCCCAATGCAAGTATGTCAGAGATATCATTTGTACTAAACCAAAAAATGCCGCCCATAATGGTACAGTTAATGATAAAGCAATTTAAAAAATAAAACGAACGTAATTTCTAAAGCTGCTGTAATAACCAATAAGCTAAATATTACTGCTATTCAGAATCGTCAACAATAGATTTCTTACGGTTGTAATAGTTAATATATGTGTAGAGAAATGCACGTGCGATGGCCATTTACAGTATCATAGACCCTACCGCTGAGTATTATAATAGTGCGTAGTAAGCGAGAAATCACTTCGAGATAAGCCACCGAAGCGTGTATATTCGCTGTGTCGAGACCAAATTTCTGTACGTAAATTTTGGTTGCACGGGTCACTCTATATATGCCAATTTGAAGGACTCGGTGTGTTCCTTATTCCTACCAAATTTCAACTTGTCACCTCGAATAGTGACGGAGATACGCCATCTTGAATGTCGAAAAAATGTTGAAGAAAACATTCGCAAATCTTTCATGCTAAAGCAAACTTCCGAATTTCGAAAAACCGTCAATGAGAGCGCCGATGTGATTAATCCAGAGAGTCTAAAAATGAAAACCTGACGAAGATCCGCCAAGAAATAACCGAGATATGACCATTTGTCTGCCTATCCGTAAATCATGTTTGTCAAAATTGACCCAATTTACATTTAATAAATAGTTCCACGGAGGCCAACAATATGTTGGCAAAATGTTTGCACCATGTACAGTTCGGGCTGCAAACTTTGACTACCCCATAAAAAAATAATAAAAACCATTACACGAACAATACGTGTTTCGAAAGAAGATCCGAAACACGTAATGATAAAAATTACAGAAACAATAGGTAACACGTAGTGAAAACAGGTACGAAACACGTAATACATAAACTTACGAAAACAATAAAAATCTTACATGTATATACAAAGAAAACAAAAGAATACAAGGGAATAGTCAACTTACAATATACAATTTGGAAGTGAAGCATTTAAATTATAGTTCAAAAGTTTGTGCAAAATACAGAGTTTTTAGACGTTTAAATATAGCAGGGTTGAGACTATTTGGACTTCCAGAGGCAATTTGTTCCATTCTTTTGGTGCTGCGTACGCAAAAGCTCTCTCACCAAATTTTGACTTCTGTACTGGACGGGGATCACGTGGCTAAGTGGGTAAGACGCTAGCCCGCTAGCCTGGAGGTCGGGTGTTCGATCCCTGCATTGGCCGAGAAAGTTCATCCAGATTTTCCGGCGTGGTTCTCCCTTGTCAGTGATGCAGGACGGAGGGGCTGACAAGGAAAGCTGTCTAGTCGTTCGGATGGGACGAAAAACCGAGGTCCCGTGTACACATTGGCGTGCACGTAAAAGATGAGTTGGAATTCGATATAAGAGTAGGCCGTAGTGCCGCTGTCCGGGCAAAATTTCCCTCATAGCACACTGTATGGCGTATGCCCGTCTTCATTAGCCCAGGTTAGGAGCAGAACAGTAGGACGTTAAACTCCATTTCATTTCATTTCATTTCTGTACTGGACATACAAGTTTGTGTTTATGAGATAAACGTATGGAAGGAGAAGGTACATATTGTTTAATTAAATCAGATAATAGGATGGCGCCAAAGGATCGTTTAAACAACTGAAAGTGACTGTGTTAATTTTAAAAATGTTGCATTAATTAACCGGTAGCCAATGTAACCGTTTTAGAACAGGTGTAATATGGTCAGATTTGGTGAGAGATAAAATTCGAGCTGCTTTATTCTGGAATTTCTGTTGCTGACTTATAAGAGTTTTAGGAAGAGAATACAATTATCAATTACAATAATCTTAAAATAACCAGAATCGATACATGAGTTTTCATATCAAGGAAGAGTCAAATAACACACCAAGATTTCTGACACAGTTGGATGGGGTTGGGGTTATGGCGGTGCTTCCAATAGTCACATAATTCTATACCTGTTCATTCCATCTGAACTTTATATTTATAAGGAGAGCGAGAGAGAGAGAGAGAGATAAATGGGGTTTAACGTCCACTCGACACAAAATAGGTCATTTCGGGACTAACATATGTTCAACTTTATTTCAACAATTCGCTTGCGTGTAGGGGTCTTTAGCAGTGGGTGAAACCGGAGGACCCCGAGAAAACCCACGAGGTTGGACAGGTGACCCTACTCCTTGTCACATACAACTGGGGAATCGAAACCCCGACAGTTGACACAATGGCAGACCTTATGATACAACGCGCACGCGTTAACCATTCGGCCATCCAACACCCATAATTTTATAGGAGATAGAAAGCTTAGAATTTACAGTTCATAATACTCTTTACATAGATAGGTTTAAGGGCATTGAAGGACTTACTCTAATGTTTTATAATATCATTACTTTCGTTGTTTTACAGGATAAACTCGGTAGATTCTGGGTATAAACCTTCTATGTTGTCTTCTACTTCATTAATACATTCTTTACGATGTGGATTGGAAGAATCTATTACTTCGAGATACTTCTCTCCGGGATATTTAATATGGCTCTTGTATCTTACTGTAAATATAGTAAAATAATTATTGTCAAATTAAAGATGCATTACGTAAGAGCTAAATTTGCAACGTGCAGGTTTTTACGTCGGCTTTAAATTTTATTTGTTTATTTCAAATTTATCCGTGCATTAGGGTATACGTCTTTTGCAATGTTAAAACGGAAAATTTGGTCAAGTTCTCAGTGACTTTTTGATCGATTTTAATAATTCTTATTTCTTTTTTTTAAGATTCTTGATGAAATCCATGACATGCGATTATGAATTTGAAAGCTTTTAGATCTAGTTATTATTATTATTATTTACAACAAATATCGAAGCCTACGCACATTATGTTTTCGCTGTTGATTCATGCTGTTGATTCATGTCTATGTCTGTAGCCATTCGATCAAGACAAACCAACCCCTCCCACCCCATCCATGACTCAACGACAATCGAGCTGAAAACGTGTAGCCAGTTAGTAATATCCTGATATTTTTCTACTGTGTGCGTCCTTTCCTTTTCCCCCAGAAGTTCCAGTATTTTTATATTAAGATTAGCTGTCAAATATATTAAATTTGTCATATATTTAATGGAATAACTACCATATAAATACTTTCGCGTAAAGGCATCTTTAAAAACGACAATGATTCCGCCCCAAATGATTTTTAAATTGACAGAACGTGGCAGTCTAAAGATGGTGGAAATTGTTTCAAGGATGATTGATGTTAATTATACTTACTAGAGTCTGGTTCAAGCCGTTTTATAGCTTGCCAATAACCTTTTAGTTCAAGACATTTTAAAAACTTCTTATACTTCCATATATACCAAATTTGCCATGCGTTATTGGAAATAACTACCATAATATATAAATACTTTCATGGGAATTTGTCTTTAATAACGACAAACGATTGTCAGAAGACAACGGGAAGGTGTTTCCCTGATGACAACTGATTGATGTAAACTATACTTACCAGAGTCTGGTTCAAGCCGTTTTATAGCTAGCCAATAACCTCTTAGTTCAAGACATTTTAAAAACTTCTTATACGCATCGGTTCCACGCCGCCATAACTTCATTAACATTAGACTAACACATCTTCGTTTGTTAGATTCAGCGATCTTCTCTAGTTCATAAACATCATCCTTCGTGAGAACACATTTTGAAAACAAGACAGTTATTAAATCATCCGGATCTAATTCGTGCATCAAGAATGCCATATTATTCCGTATTTTGGAATAATCGTCGTATACCATTTTTCCCTCCTGCTTAATTAAAGGAATTGTCTGTATAATTTTGCATTCTTCATCAACGTCTTTATCTGTAAGTAAAAGTAACAACATGATTGATAAGTATAAATGATTTATTGCCAGGTTCATAAGCAACGATACATATGCCTACCAATAGCTTTGGAGATCTTTTGGCGTGCATGTAGAAAAAAGACCTTGCCCATGGCGGTTGAAATTCGGTGTAGAGCAGGCGGAATGGCCACTGATCAACTTCACCTCAACACTTCCCACCAAATTTGAAAGACATCCGGTAAAAATCATAGCCTCCATCGCGTTCAGAAGATTTTAACCAAAGGTGTACGATGAGTATCGAAAGGTTTCAGCCTCTTAAGCATTCAATACTTCCCACAACATTTTACAACCATCGGTTGCCAGGCAAGATATGCCCACCTTTTGCAAGAGATGGATAGAAAACAAGCTAAACACCAAAGTTATGGTCTGAAGTGCGCAAATATCGACAGAGATTGAGATCTTTAGGACATAAACATAATATATGTTAAGTTTCATCAAAATAAGATACAAATTGTGACCTCTAGAGAGTCCACAACTGTTACACAATTTGCGTACAAAGAGCGGTCATTTTGTCGGGCAATTTAGTTTCGATTTTCCCGAAATTCGAATTCAACCTTCATTATTGTGGAATTGTAATATATTTAAACGGTTTTTAAAATTTATTGCACAAAACCTTTTTTTACAGACCGATTTCGATGAAGATTTGCAGAATAAGCACCAACTTATTCAAAATTAATCGTTTACTATCAAAAATTCTAACTGATTTAAAAGTTTATAGTACGGCTTTCATGAGTTAACAGGTTTAACCAGAGGCCGAACTGCTCAACATACTTATTTTATTGCACAGAAAACCCACCCCGGTTCTCTATATGATTTTTACTAAAACTAATGTAAACCAACAAAAGTGTGCAATAACATTCAATATGTCTGGTTATATTTGCAGGTTAAGCTCCGCTCAATCTACTAGAGGGAAAACAATCTGCTTATTCAACGAATAAGATTTCCCATCCATGTTACAATTTAAAATAGACACCTCTCGTATTATCCACAGATAGCATTTCTTCGTTTCGTTCTGATTTTTTCGGTACTTCTCATTTTTACAGCGGGAAATAAACGAATCCCGATCATCAATTCGCAATAGCCCTATTTTCGAACGTTTTGGAGAACCAAAAACATCGGATAGAAACCTATATTTTAAGTTTCGACAAAATCGTACAAAGATAGCCACGCAAAGTGTGGACATACGTCGTATTACACAGCAGCCGTGTCCCAACTTCAGCTTATCCGAAGGCTTCTCCGTAAACTTAATCACTGTGCATCCATGTTAAGTAAGTTGGAAATGAACTTTGGTCTACCAAATATTTTAGTTGGCATATTGTCCAAACGTTCTATAAATATTCCTTGCGAGCCTGGCTCTGTAATAAGTGGAAATTTGAAAGGTACAAGTAAATTTTGTACATGTTTCATGACGCAATAAAAAATTATATGTTTTAAAAAAAAATAATCCAAATTATAAGTATCTTTTATGTAGTTTGTTTGCAACTTTCTCACAGAACTCAAATATTGCCTTTAATAAAAAGATTTTTAAGTTCTAAAACAAAAGGACCTGAGATGCACCGCTGTACACAAAGCAACAAATATACTAAAAGCGTCATTAGTTTCGCACTTAATCTTTGATTTTGATTTTCATTCACAGGCATGTTGCCATATACATGGAAAGCAAATCAAAGGGCCCTTTGCTCATACCCCTCTATAGGACACATATCTCCTTTAATTCATAAGCTGGTTACTTTCAAATTTAGTGCCAACGTTATTTTTAGTTTTTCTTGCCCTTTCCCCCCTTTTGCGTTGCGATTTCTATTGACGTTTTGGTGTACAATCGAAGGAAAGGAGTTGAATATACATTTTCTACGGGGTTTTGATTAATATTCATGATTTTGAGGAGGGAGTTAGGTGATTGTTAACGTAGAAATATAGGGCGGATAGTTGCATGTTTACTACATCCAATATCTCAAGATTTCCATGGTGAACCCCATACCTGCACTGGAGCAAGAGGTTGCCCTATCTTGTTCCTTCTGTGGCAGAAACCGTTCTTCCTAACGAAAAATTGGAAAAAAGTTAGATCCGGTTGAAGAGACGAAAATTAACATTAAAGTCAGTGGGGAAATTAATGGTGTACTGTGTTCTAATACGGAACACGGGACACAAGTCTACAAACCATAAATAATCGTTGACGTCATATCTATATATGACGTCGATGGGCATAACATTCTGCAAGCCATCGTTGCTGATAAATCACTCAGCTGTGTTGTGTAATTTTGTCTAATTTACACCACTGAGAATCTAGAAGGTCTCAACCAAATTTTAAGGATTTCAAAAGGCATCGGGCGTTCCCGCTGCAGTCTTTCGTATAGACATTGCAACCTCTTCGTTACATCGTGGAATGCTATTCCATAAAGAAGTGACCAGGAAACATACTTTGGTAGTATTTGTCTGTAGTCAGGAGCAACAACTTTAACTTTTATATTATCGAATTTCTAGCCCATTACTGACATGTGTGGGAGTTTTCTTAGATACTCAAAATACACAGCATATGCTTCATTAGTGTCTTAATTATTTGGAGGTTTTATCAAAATCGCAGAAAAATATAAAACAGGATGAGACGTACCTGCGCAAAAATTAGGAGATGTACGTGTGGTACATGTAGTTAAAGGGCCAAACCCGATAATATTCTGGAGACTAAAACTGCTTAATTTTGTAATAAAATCCCTTTAAAAGCCCTTAGAATCCTTTAACTTAGGGCCGAGCAACTAACTCAATATATGTGATACGTTTTCAAACATCTTAAACCCGTCCGTCTTCATCTGGAAATGGGACCAGTGTTCCAAGCTGTATTATGCGGTGTCTGGATAAAACCAGACTTGTATTTTATAAAAATAATGTGTTGGTGAAATTTACCTTTCGTTATCAAGTATAGCACATGGGCCATTCGTTGTATAGACCTGTAAACGAACGGGAATCGATTATTAGGTCACCTAAAGAAGAGATTGACCCGAAATCTTAAAATCTTACGTGTCCGGATAAGCAGTTTTGATGTGCAGGTCCAACCGACTCAATATTTTTAGCTGAAACTTTGAAACATAGTACATACACCACTCCTCTACATTTTGGCACTTAAATTTCATACGCACTCGGACTTATATTTTCGAGGCTCTGTTCAAATCGGGATAGTCCCTTTAACATTTCAAAGCATGCAAGTATTCTCTCAGAGTATTTATGTTCTACATATTTTTATTCGACATTTTGTAGTTGCAGGTAATAGTCATTGTGTGAGAAAAAATGCCGAAAAGTTATGTTATCTTTGACGTGAATGCAGCCATGTTTTATAAGATGACATTTAACAAGATAGATTGCCAGGCAAAAACACATATTCCCACAAAAGCTAAGTCGTCCCATCAAGACTTGTTTTCATTTTCAAACTATGGGTGAATTTACTGATGAAAAATAACACACCAAAAGTAACAAACTATATGCGCTATGAGCACGATTTGTGGATGCGGCGCTATATAAATGGACATATTATTATTATTATATCAGAGTTATTCGCTTCTAATTCTTGGCGCTGCTCAAGGGTCATAACTCTGGCAGTAATTATCGAAAGCCATTGAAAATCAATAGGATTCTTCATAACATGAATTTAAACACCGCTAATCAATTATATTAAAACCTAGAAAATTAATAGGTCTCTTAGCCTTATGAACATTAACATTGCGCGTAAATGATAAATGTCGAGTCAATCGGATCATAACTTTAATCGCTTCCAGAACTTCTATGAGACTATTAAAAATAACTTTATTTGAAAGTTGCTATCAGAAATTGTTGAAAATCAACAGAATTTGTCTGCTCATGAACTTAAGCATAGGGTATGAATTTTAAATAAATCGGTTGTTGACTTGAACCTCTAGAGGATCGACAAGCACTTGTTGACAGCGGGCGGACGGGGGTGACGACAGTACAATTGTTTAAACCATCACCTGAACATTTCAGCATTCAGATAAAAACAGTTTTTGAGAAGACTTTTAAGATGGGGTCGAAACTGAAACATGGACACATTCCGAATGTGCTAAAAGCCACGTGCTTTACGTAGCAAATGGATCATGTATTTATTCCTCGATGCTCATTGTGCCCCCCCTTCGAAAAATGCAACATTTGTGGCGAAATAGCGACCATCTTGTTTAACTTTACAAATTAGATTATCGATATATATATATTGCTCTCGAACAGTTTAATAGACTGATTGACTGTTCTAAAAATACATATACATGCCAAATTAGGGGGAGCTTTGTGTTAATATTTTAGTCACCACGTAAGAGATCTCAAAACTATAACTTCTGGGATGAAATTTAATAATTGAACAATAATGACCTAAAATGTATATATATGGGATTACAATTAGTGGAATAAGCTTACGGCGTCACAACGATCACGATTTATAATGTATCAATTGAGACTAAAAACAAATTGTAATCTGCTTTCATTTTTATATTTGCAGTTTTCTTACTGTACGCTTATGTCTTAAATACCATGAATTTGCTTATCTGAAATGTTGTTACCAAACTTAAAGCCAGTGGCTTTATTTTACTATCGAGCCCTAATAAATGAGACAGACCAGACATACACATTCAGTCAGGCTAAGTGATAGCGATATTAGATATTACATAACTCACCAGTTTTCGTATAATTAGCTTCCCCACCTTCAGTTACATTATAATCTTCCTGTTCTTTTTCTAGTTTTATTATTCTTTTCAACCTCTCTTTAAGTTGTTTGTGATCATCTTTCAACTTTTCGTGTCTCGGTTCAAAAAATGTCCTTAGTGATTCATTCATCTCTCCAGTTTCGAAATGTTCTACTTTAACACCTTGTTCTTGCTCCAGTTCAGCTTTTGAGCCAGAGTTTTGGGTTGGTTTGTGTTCAGCTTTTAAGCCAGAACTTTGAAGTAGGCTCGGAACAGTCTTTTGCAGTTGATTAGTTTCCATGTTCTGTTGAGCTGAAAACGTGATTTTGTGTACAGTCAGGGGCTATAATCCGGGAACCGAGATCTTTGAAATAGAAACCTATAGTTCAGGTTACGAAAAAAAAAATACAAAGGGTGGATATACATCGTATGACACAGCAGCCTTGGTCCAACCGCTGCTTATCCAATGGCTTCTGCGTGAACTTTTTAAGTCCGTCGGATAATAAATTGTTTGAATTAGGCCTTTTCGTCTCAGGAATGTAACACTGTGTAAAATCCGGGTGATAACTTTGGCATGAAAGCGTCCATATGCAATTGTGGACTATTGACCGCAGAACTAATGGACAGGTGTGACAACAATATCCGATAACGTTCAAATGTGAGCGTATAATAAATACAATTGGTAAAGCTACTGTCAAATAGAATTCCTAGAAACTAGGAAATATGCAATACCTTCGTCGATCCTTTCAAATGAAAATCCCACTGGTGATACTTCTTTTTCCCCAATACAACCAGCCGACACTGCTGTTTCTAATTTCTGACGAAGTTCACATTCATTTATATTGGAATCCAAAGATAGCATATGTAAAGTCACCTGTATATAATCATGGCTGCAAAATAGATTCATTAAAATTGTCTTCGATCAAGATTTTCAAATTATATTATGTAATATACATTGCATTTAATTTATGAGCCCGGTTGTATGTTATGATTATAATAATAATAATGTATATTTGCAATGCGCTTAATAATCCATCCATATACGCATGCTCAAAGCGACCACATTTAAAGAGTCTCTACTATTCAAAAAAAGTAGGGGATATTTGATTTTTAAGTGTTATTAAAGTCACCTAATGAAACTGACGATGAAACAAATGACAAAATGAAATGAAGTTCACATTCATCGATTTATTCCAAATGATCATTAGACTAAGTAAGGCACAGACTGACCATTATAAGGGTAAAATGATACCCGGGGTCAAACAGCAAAGTTACCACAGCATCACAACCAAGTCAGTAACGGGTAAATCCTCCTCTGTTTGAAAAACAAGCATTGATCCGACGTGGCATACTCCTAATGAGACGTCTAAGGTCATTTTGGTCCAGATTGTCCCATTCCTGTTGCAACGCAGCAGCAAGTTCTTGGACATTGGCAGGACGTTGTTGACGTTGACGTAACCTCTGTCCAAGCATGTCCCAGACATGCTCGATGAGGGAGAGGTCGGGACTCAGTGCTGGCCAAGGTAATGTGGTGATGTTCTGTTGTTGGAGGTAACCTGTAACGATCCTGGCCCTGTGACATCTTGCGTTGTCATCCTGGAAGATGAAACGGCGGCCATGACGTCGTGCGAACGGCACAACATGGACTACCAAGATGTTGTCCCGGTAGTACTGGCCTGTAACACGCCCTGCAACAACATGTAAAGCCGTTCTTACAGCAACAGTGATGCCTCCCCACACCATAACAGAACCACCCCCAAATCGATCATGTCTGATGACGTTAACGTCTTGGAAGCGCTCGTTTCGACGACGCCACACCCTCCTACGTCTGTCCAAAAAATCAACAGTGAACCTTGACTCATCTGAAAACATCACATTGCTCCAGCGTCGATTATCCCAGTGTTGACGATCCCTACACCAACGACGTCTTGCCTGAATGTGATGATCTCTCAAACAAGGGATCACGCGAGGACGTCGGGCGCGAAGGTGACCCCTATGCAGTCGATTCCGAATCGTCTGGCCACTCACTCTCACACCAGTGTCTGTTTGAAGACGAGCGCTGATCTGATTTGCTGTGATGACACGATTTCTCAAGGCCAAGGTACGGATAAATTGATCCTGGGCTTGAGTTGTCGCCCTTGGTCGACCTGAGCGTGGTCTATCCTGTACAGATTGTGTATCACGGTATCTGGACCATAGCCTGCTTATGACAGACTGAGAAACATTCATCGTCCGCGCCACAACCGCCTGTGTTGTGCCGATCTGTAGCATGCCAAGGGCACGTAACCTTTCATTTTGGGTAAGCCGACGCATATCAAAATTTGTTTTCTGGTCACTAAAACAATTAAACTGATGTTTCCACCCTGGAATTCAATGCCACAATGACTGTAACATTCAAAGTCAGAGTCGTGCAAATCTTGGGTTGGACCCCCATGATGATCCCAAGCATCACCTGCATTCCATGCGGTAGCTATTGGTGCGTTTGGGCGTCACATGTAACTGGAAATGTTTCTTCTGTTAGGTTCTATAGTGACTTTTTTCGTAGTCATTTGCATATTTTAGTATTATGCCCCCAAAATCAAATATCCCCTACTTTTTTTGAATAGTATATAAACCATATATTTCTACTGTCTGAACCGTGGTAAATTATAAACGGATTTCGTCGATTGTGAACAAACTACTGAATAATTGTTATTAAAAACTTGCCTATGTGTTTGAAATCTCCTCCGGTTGAATAAAATCCATTGCACAATTGAATATCCCAACGAAAAAAAAGTTATCTCTTGAAAAGTCAATGTTTTTTCTTGTATTTTCGACCAAGTTCATCGTAACAGTGTACATGTCACGTGATGAGCTAAACCATCTTAATATATTGAGGGGGACAATGGTTGACAAATTTTGACAATCACGTGTGCTGTTATCACAACAACGCTTGACCTTTCCGATCATTTGAGTTTGGGCAACAAAAATGGCAACTGAAGACAATAAAATTAATTTGGAAATGATTGTCAATCTACTAAATTTTTTATTCACAATGAATATATCATCGATTACACGAATACTCGTAAATATTGCTTTTCACGTCATCATCACCTCATAATTGTAAATACCATGTGTTAGTGGGTATTATATATATTTTAATAAATCATATTAGGCCGTACATCCCTGTCAATTATATGCAACTCTGTGGCTAACATTTATAAATAAACATACTTTATTTCATAATTTTAATTGATAATATTTCATAACACGGGGTCTAATCTCAATGTCTATTTTCAAAGTTTTATGATTACCACAAACACTATGAAGAAAGGCCACCGCTTCTCAATAATTTCCATATTTAATTCACGTTCCGACTGTTCACGTCCATAATATTCCTGATTAAATTTTTTTTTTTTTTTTTGGCTTATTCGATACTGAAATCGACGCATTGTTGATAAGAACAGTTCGGGATGTCTAAACATCGTTTATCGTCTTTATAAAAATGAATTTAAAACAAAAAATCACTTGTCAAAAGAGGTATCGCAGATTGCATGTATTATTGGGTCTTGTGTGTTAATTATGCAGAACGTGAGAAAAAATCGTGCAAGTTTCGCGCTAAATTTAACCATTTTCACTGCATCTGTGTAGCATACAGTAACTGATATGGCATGGTACCTTTTACGGTAATATACCGGTAATTCAAAGCGTTGACTGGCTGAGGCATGATCGCGATCTACGAAATGCCATTCGAAAATTCCATTCTCTGTGGATTTCAAAATGGAGTTTAATATAAGCCTATAGTTAATAACTGAGAGTACAATCCTGTGGATACATTACCCTGTGAATTTCAAAACGCAGCTTGGATTTTCGGAAATTAATGGTGTTACCGAGACGCAAAATTCTGAACAGTTTTTGCACAACGGAAATACTATTCGAAGAGAAATAGAAAGACATGGAACTATCTGCCGATAATAAAACCGATGTGGGCTATGATCTGTTGTTGATAATAATTTTTAGTATTTATATAAAAAAAATAAGAACGTTATACCTATTCAATGATTCAATGGCCTCGGCTATTTATTATGGTGGCTGATTGGTATCATGTCGTGATGTCTTGGTGTCGCCCTTCATAAGGCGACAACCCGACAACCCAACATCACGACATCACGACATTATAACCTGCCACCACGACAACACGACATTTTTAGCCCGACACCACGACATTTTCACCCGACACCACGACATTAAGAATGTCGTAATGTCGCGTAAAAATGTCGTGATGTCGGGTTGTCGTGGTGTCGTGATGTCGGGTTGTCGACTTTATTTATCAATGTTGAAGCGGCCACGAGATCAAGTCAGCCCTCACTACCTCATCCTTCACTAAGTATACTTAACCTTCACTAACAGCGAATCAAGCTGGCCCTCACTACCAAACTACGGGTTTTAATACAAAATTCCCGATAGCATGTTACATATCACTGAAAAGCACGTTCACTGCTCTTTTCAAATGTATAAAATGTATAATTTGCTGGCACATTTATATTTACCTGACTTGAGAGGTGATCAAAGACGAATGGTACAAAAATCGATTAAATGATGGGGGTAGGGGTAATCAAAGTAAAAACTACGGGTCTTAATACGAAATTCCAGATATTATGTTATATATCACTGAAAAGCACTTTAATTTCTCTTTTCAAATATATAAATAATTTTCTGACACATTTATATTTACTTACCTTGAAAAATCAAAGTTGGATAATACTGAACTCTATTAAGTAATTACGTGTGTGTGTGTGTGTGTGTGTGTTTTGGTGGGGGGGGGGTATTGAATGTCTAATTACGGGTTCTAATACGAAATTCCAGATATCATGCTACATATCAGTAGAAAGCACGTTCACTGTTCTTTTGAAATATATAAATAATTTTCTGGCACATTTATATATATATGCTTGCCTTGAAAAGTGAAAAGAGAGAGGGAGAGAAATGGGGTTAAACGTCCACTCGACACAAACTAGGTCTTTTCGGGACCAACAAATGGTATTAAATTTCATTTCAATAATTCGCTTGCGCGTAGGGGTCTTTAGCAGTGGGAGGAAACCGGAGGACCCGAAGAAAACCCACGAGGTTGGATAGACGACCCTACTCCTTGTCACATACAACCGGGGATTCGAAACCATGCCAGTTGACTCAATGACAGGTCTTATGATACAGCGCGCACGTGCTAACCACTTGACCATCCACCACCCCCCCCAAAAGTGAAAGGGGGGGGGAGGATTTGAAATAAAAATGCGAGGCTTAATCCAAAATTCCGTATATCTATTCTGAAAAGTAAAGTTAATCCTCTCTTGAAATGTATTTATTATAATTTCGTCGGAATGCATATATACTTTTTAAAATTAAAACTGATACAAGTTTGGTAGCCTTCACTGGCTGCATTAAAGAAAAGTGGTGGGAGTGGGGCGAGTGTTTAATGTCAAAATACGTGTCTTAATACGAAATTCCAGTTACTGTGTCATACATCACCGGAAAGTAGGTGTGCATGGCTCTTTGAATCTACTTGTTAATTTCTGGCACATTCATGATTACATACTTTAGAAGAGATAAAAGCATTTTTATTTTGAGCAAAGAAATTGGTTACTAAAAATAGACTATATTCAATTCATTTTATTTATCGAAGGCTCGAATTTGGTAGTGAGGGCCAGCTTGATTCGCAGTTAGTGAAGGGTAAGTTTTCTTAGTGAAGGATGAGATAGTGAGGGCTGACTTGACCCCGGCAAGGGACAGCACTCTATTATACATGGCCGCTTCAACATTGATAAATAAAGTCGATAACATTTTTACGCGACATTACGACATTCTTAATGTCGTGGTGTCGGGTGAAAATGTCGTAGTGTCGGGTTAAACATGTCGTGATGTCGGGTTGTCGTGGTGTCCCGTTATAATGTCGTGATGTCGGGTTGTCGCCTTATGAAGGGCGACACAACGACATTAAGACATGATACCAATCAGCCACCATAATTTATTTTGCCGAGATAGTATTCGCGCGTGAACTAATGTTTTCTAAGTTTTCTTAGTGAAGGATGAGATAGTGAGGGCTGACTTGACCCCGGCAAGGGACAGCACTCTATTATACATGGCCGCTTCAACATTGATAAATAAAGTCGATAACATTTTTACGCGACATTACGACATTCTTAATGTCGTGGTGTCGGGTGAAAATGTCGTAGTGTCGGGTTAAACATGTCGTGATGTCGGGTTGTCGTGGTGTCCCGTTATAATGTCGTGATGTCGGGTTGTCGCCTTATGAAGGGCGACACAACGACATTAAGACATGATACCAATCAGCCACCATAATTTATTTTGCCGAGATAGTATTCGCGCGTGAACTAATGTTTTAGTAGCATCTGTTGTGATGAGATGGCGAATGTCGCTGATGCAACGTATATGATAGAAACATATGCGGCACAATTCACCAACGTGTGTTTCCATAATAAGTGTTGAGTCAAGGAAAACACCAAGGGTTATTAGAGGTGCCAACTAATATATCGTTTGTTTTAGACTATTCCATAGTCTTAGAATTGCTGTGCAGATGGATTCAAAATAATTTTATGATGAACGGTATCAAAAGCTGCAGACAGATCAAGGGGGATTAAAGAAGCTGTTTCACCATCATCAACAGCTCATCTCAGATTATTTACTACTCTAAGAAGTGTAGTTTCTGTGCTGTGGTTGGGTCGATATGCAGATTGAAACTTGTCAAAGAGACCATGTGTCGAAAGGAAGGAACGCAATCTAATGCTAACTGATTTCTCCACAATTTTCGATAAAAAGGACAAATTTGAGACTGGACAATAGTTCTTGAGCACGTTGGGATCCAGTGATTCTTTCTTAAGTAGTGGCTTTACGATAGCGTGTTTCAATATATCAGGAAATACTCCGGTTGCCAGACTAGAATTAAATAAATGACGTTATTATTGGAAGTCAAACATACAAGAATTCACACGGAAGTCTGGTTGGAATCGGGTCTAAAGAATACGTGTTTTTCTTTGATGATTTGATGATAATTTGATATCATTTTCACTGAATGACTCAAAGAGGGAGAACGGTTCACAAGCAGGTTCTACAATATTTATAAGAGTATCTGACAGAGAATTCTAATCAAGCTGATTCCTACTTTGATCAATTTTATCAATGAAAACATCAGAGAATTTATTTGCTAGTTGCAAGTTGTTATCGGGGTCAGGCAATTTTGAAATGTACTTTTTCCCTGCAATATAAATTGTTCATGAGTCTGGTTGAATGTTATCATTATATTCTGAACATATTTGGTTAGCTACCAGGTTCACAGCCGATGATTGTTTCAATGAAATGGAGACTTAGATTAGTTTAACCTAGCTCTCGTGTATATTGGAATGCTTGAGATTTACAGTTGATAATACTAAAAAAATGTTTTAAGGAATTTGCGAGCTTTCTCTAATGTTTTGTTAGATACGAATATCATTAACGTATATATTACTTACCTTATTTGTGCATTCGTGACGACGACACATGTCTTAGATTGTGGGTATAAACCTTCTATGTTGCCTTCTACTTCATCAACAAACTCTTTACGACGTTGCTTTACCAATTTTATATGGTCCTCGTCTGGAACTGTAAGTACATGAAAATCATTATATATTGCCGAAGGGGGATCACGGTGGCTAAGTAGGTAAGACGCTGGCTCGCTAGCCTGGAGGTCGAGTGTTTGATCCCTGCATTGGCCGAGAAAGTTTTATCCACATTTTCCGGCATGGTTTCCCCCTGTCAGTTATGCAGGACGGAGGGCCTGACATCCCCCTTTCAGTTATGCAGGACGGAGGGCCTGACACCCCCCTTTCAGTTATGCAGGACGGAAGGCCTGACAAGTACAGCAGTCTAGTCGATCGGATGGGACGAAAAACCTCATAGCACACTGTATGGCATATTGTGACAGTGTTTGTTCTTTAATCACGCTCGGATGACAAGACTAGTTTAACTTCTTATAATACTTTTATTCTCTGCTTCTTACATATCAGTTACAAACATCGTAATGTTAAAGACTCCCAGAACTAACTTGTATTGCGGGAGCCATGTCCTAGATTGGCAAAAATGTGCCAACTCTCGGGCGCTCTCCCCCGTTCCGTCTCGTGTCCTGGCCGGACCTAACTGTCGATTCGTTTGTTATCTGGGTTTATAAACCCTTCCAAACAAAGGATCTTATTAGGCATCTGGCTAATGTATCATCTATCATATCAGGTTTAACATTCGATACATGCTAATCAGACAAAGAAAGTTTAAATAAAACATGCCAAGAACAAGTTAAGATTACATAATGCTACCATGAACTCCAGGGGTGTCGATAATAGACAGGTTTAACACCACTTTCGCGTGGCAAGATGGTAGGAAGCGTCTATAACATCTGTGATTATGTAACATAATGTCTGTCATCATTACCCCAGTTTAGGAGCAGAACAGCATGACGTTAAGCCCCATTTCATTTCATTTATAAAGCCCAATCGCCAAATTAAAGATGCATTATGTAAGATCTAAATCTTTATGTTGGCTTCAAATGTTATATAAACTATTATTTAGACACTTATTCAAATGATAAGCCTAAAATCGGCGCAACACTTCAGACAGTCACAACTTCGCTCAAAATAAAGTAATTTGAATAAAAGTGTCAATATATTCATTTTGCATTGTCTATTTCGGAACTACTATTACGGTTGTCCACAGCCTTAAATCAATCTGAACGACAGACTCACCCTACCTGCAGAGAAGTGACTCTGACACAGTGAATAGCCATGATATCCATATGACGTTATCTAAACGTCACAGGTCATGAGATCACATCAACAAACAAATGTAAACACCATCATTATGATCATTATCAGCATTACAAGACACAATGTTACATTGTAAACAATAGCTTTCTTGCAGCCTTTAGGACTGTATAATCCGTACAGAACGTCTTATCGCTTCTTCCAATGATTTTTCACAAAAATAACATCATCTACAACTCTAGATTTGACGTCGGCATATTGGCACTATTTTGTGCTTCGGTCGTGTCTATTTCAGATATACACAATCAATTCTGTTAATGTTTTTAGCGTGGGGATTGACTAAAAGTTAATTTATTTCACTTCTAAACAAAAATTTAAAACTTTAACGCAATTTAAAAAAAATAGCCAAATTCTGGCTGGGATTACTGAGCAAAATGGCCATTCACTGTATACGTGCGAAAAAAAAGGCAGCTACCATTTAATTTTCGTACGTTAGTTACGTACGAGCCTTAAATATGTGTGCTCATAAAAGTGAACCTACTTATCAGCACGTTGCATCTCTAATGACAAAAAATCGAATGAAAACTATTCAGTCGCGGGGCCGCCTTCGCGAGTTTAGAAGTTACGAATTTGCTAGCCCTAGGAATACCTGACAAAAATTTGGGATGGATATTAACTGAACGAAATGTAGTTTTCGTATTCTTGATTAACCAGTCTTGTATGATTAAAATAAAATTACTAGTCAAGAATCATTATTTACGATTCATGTTTGTTGGTTTACTTATTCTATGGGAGTATGGCGCCGAATCATTGTCATATTGAATATCATAGTCAAAATGTTAAAAATGACCATTTTCTAGATTTTTCACTAATAGTATCGAAAAAAATTAACAATATAAAAATCTAGTTATGTTTTTTCACTTTCTAATTTTCACATTTGTAAATTTACTGTGACGTTTTCATCTTTGCATTTTCAACTATCAGAATGTCTCCATTGTATTTTCAATCACTCAAATTTCTCTGATCGAACAGACGGAGGGTGTAGTTCCGGGTTAGCCTAAGTTGACGTCATAAGTCGTCAGTATTTATCGTCTCGGCTTAAATTAATACTACTATGAGATATTCATTACTCTTAAGATTTGCCCAATTTTATTGATTATTTTTTCGGAAAAATTGAAATAAATTCGTTGTCATCACAACCCTTTGGCAGAACATCGGCATAAATGTGAGCGGATTGCTGGCATTATATCTGAAATAAGTGTACCTACAGATTAGGTGTGTGGCTGTCGTTACAGTTATTAGAGGATGTAATAAATTTGCAAATCCCAACCCCCTCCAAGGGATCTTTTACGTGGACCCCAATTTATAGACGGGTCTTCAGTTGATCGACCCATCCGAACGATTAGACAGCTGTTCTTGCCAGGGCTTAGTTCTGTACCACTGACAGGGGGAATCGACGCTAGAAAATGCTGACATTTATGCGTATATATAGCGAGTAACATTGCACCCGGGCAAAAACAAATTGGGAAATAACTGAGACTTGTATTGCTGTAATCATTTCATTTTTATTATTTTAAGACCTGAAAGGTATTTAAAAAAATGATCATTAAAATCCATCAAAAACTCGCGAAGTTAATGCGATTTTTCACTCGTAAACAATTTTGTCGGCACGAAAAACGTCAAAGGCAAAATTCGAAATTTTGACATTTTCAAATACCATAAATTCGACCCTGATCCCGGCTATCCTGAAATGTATTCATTTTGGAAATAGGAGACATATTCTCCAAACTACGGCCTATTGTTTTCGTCGATTTTTTCACTTTTTCTCATATTCAGTTCAAAATGGTGACCATCAGTTTATCGATATCAAAATTCTGATCCGATATATTTTAGGCATTCCATCAAAGATTCAGAAAATGTAACTCCAATATTGCAAAAGCCTTGTGGATTTTTCACGTTCCAAGATGGTGGCACTTCCGGTTCAATCGGCAGATTCATATTTTGTGTACGCATTAAATTTTGAAGGCAATCTGACCTACTTTTTGTCGATTTTTTTTAAAACTTTGATCCTTAATTTCTCCAAGTGGAGATAAGTTAGAAAATATCAAATGGCATCGTTGAAGTTGGATCAACCAGATGATTCCGAATTTCACGAAAATCGTACTAATATTCAAGAAGTTGTCATGTTAGTTTTACACCGGGGATGAATTTAAATTTTGAAGGCAATCTGACCTATATTTCGTCGATTTTTTTTAAAACTTTAATCCTTAATTTCATCGAAAATCCGAAATTGCAGATTTGAAGTAAATGTTTCAAGGTACTAAAAGAATTAGTAAAATAGGTCAAATAGTCAGAAAGTTACAGCAATGTAGGTCAAATGCATTCGTCCGTAAAATTCGTTGACTTCTGATTCGGCTTTATGAAAATATATTTAATCAAATATATTTAACCCATTTTTTGGGTGTGTGTGTGTGGGAAGTGGGGGGGGGGGGTAGGTCAAAGTTTCAGAAAGATCCTATGGTTCTATTCTGAGAAATCCGATTTGCAGGAAACACACACAAATAATAATAGTAATAACTTTAACAGAAACAATAAACTTTCATATGAAATATGAAAGGTTAACTAGATTTACGAGAAATCCGATTTGCAGAAAAGACACACCAAAAAAGAAAAAAAAAATTAATCTTAACAGAAAAAACTTTAACATATTTCATATGAAAGCTTAATAATCTTAACAGAAAAAATAAGCTTTCTTTTAATAATAATCTTAACAGAAACAATAAGCTTTCATATGTAATATAATAATAATTTTAGTAAAAACAATAGTCTTAAAACGAAAGTCTGAAAGCCTAATAATAAAAATAATAATAAGACATTTATATAGCGCCTAATCGTCTTAAGATCATCTAAGCGCTTTACAATCATGATATCACATTGACGGACATATGACAAATCATAATATATACATTTAATTACTGATACGCTTGGTTGTATAAATGAGTTTATAACTTGGTTTTAAAAATGTCTACGGTCTTGCTTGATCTAATGCTTCTGGTAGCACATTCCATAATCTCGACGCAGACATAGAAAAGGTTCGATCTCCACAATGTTTCAGTTTTGAGTGTTTTTCTGAAAGTAAATTGTGCGAAGTTGATCAAGATTTCGTTTTGGGTTGCATGTTGCAATCATCTCTTTTGATATAGTCTGGTGCTTGATTATTGAATGCCTTGTATGTCATCATATTAATTTTGAATATGACCCGATATTTAACTGGCAACCAATGCAAGCTCCTTGGAAGTGGAGTCACGTGGTCATATTTCTTCTTTCTCTTCAATAGTTTTACTGCACAGTTTGCATTTTGTTAAGGAGAGAATCGGGAAGATGTAGCACCATTGGCCTTCTGTTGGACGTGGAGAGCGGTCGATCCAAATCAGGTCGCCACATCCTACGTACGACCCATGCATTTTTTCTTACTACATATCTTGGTAGCCTTGTGATCGTCTAGTATCGCCTTTGCTTCCCCTTCACGTTGTGTATTTACTTCTTACTGTTTTCTTAAGACGTTTGTCTTACCAGGAATAACAATGCAACAGTTCCTTTTTTACATTTTATATACTATTCAAACAAAGTAGGGGATATTTGATTTTGGGGGCATAATACTAAAATATGCAAATGACTACGAAAAAAGTCACTATAGAACCTAACAGAAGAAACATTTCCAGTTACATGTGACGCCCAAACGCACCAATAGCTACCGCATGGAATGCAGGTGATGCTTGGGATCATCATGGGGGTCCAACCCAAGATTTGCACGACTCTGACTTTGAATGTTACAGTCATTGTGGCATTGAATTCCAGGGTGGAAACATCAGTTTAATTGTTTTAGTGACCAGAAAACAAATTTTGATATGCGTCGGCTTACCCAAAATGAAAGGTTACGTGCCCTTGGCATGCTACAGATCGGCACAACACAGGCGGTTGTGGCGCAGACGATGAATGTTTCTCAGTCTGTCATAAGCAGGCTATGGTCCAGATACCGTGATACACAATCTGTACAGGACAGACCACGCTCAGGTCGACAACTCAAGCCCAGGATCGATTTATCCGTACCTTGGCCTTGAGAAATCGTGTCATCACAGCAAATCAGATCAGCGCTCGTCTTCAAACAGACACTGGTGTGAGAGTGAGTGGCCAGACGATTCGGAATCGACTGCATATATATAGGGGTCACCTTCGCGCCCGACGTCCTCGCGTGATCCCTTGTTTGAGAGATCATCACATTCAGGCAAGACGTCGTTGGTGTAGGGATCGTCAACACTGGGATAATCGACGCTGGAGCAATGTGATGTTTTCAGATGAGTCAAGGTTCACTGTTGATTTTTTGGACAGACGTAGGAGGGATCAGACATGATCGATTTGGGGGTGGTTCTGTTATGGTGTGGGGAGGCATCACTGTTGCTGGAAGAACGGCTTTACATGTTGTTGCAGGGTGTGTTACAGGCCAGTACTACCGGGACAACATCTTGGCAGTCCATGTTGTGCCGTTCGCACGACGTCATGGCCGCCGTTTCATCTTCCAGGATGACAACGCAAGATGTCACAGGGCCAGGATCGTTACAGGTTACCTCCAACAACAGAACATCACCACATTACCTTGGCCAGCACTGAGTCCCGACCTCTCCCCCATCGAGCATGTCTGGGACATGCTTGGACAGAGGTTACGTCAACGTCAACAACGTCCTGCCAATTTCCAAGAACTTGCTGCTGCGTTGCAACAGGAATGGGACAATCTGGACCAAAATGACCTTAGACGTCTCATTAGGAGTATGCCACGTCGGATCAATGCTTGTTTGGCAAACAGAGGAGGATTTACCCGTTACTGACTTGATTGTGATGCTGTGGTAACTTTGCTGTTTGACCCCGGGTATCATTTTACCCTTATAATGGTCAGTCTGTGCTTTACTTAGTCTAACGATCATTTGGAATAAATCGATGAATGTGAACTTCATTTCATTTTGTCATTTGTTTCTTCGTCAGTTTCATTAGGTGACTTTAATAACATTTAAAAATCAAATATCCCCTACTTTTTTTTGAATAGTATATATAGCTGCTTACATAGATACAAGCATAGTATAGATTGCAATGCTAAAGTCATTCTCAAACACTAGCCAGCCAGACTCGATGGGCGAGTCTGCTGATAGAAATTGCTATATCTTTTTCTCCTGGAATCAAGCTGCTGTCTCGGAACTCAAATGGTAATCTTTCCGGAATCTTATGAAATCTGCCTTAAAAGTTTGCCATGATTTATTTTATAGGACATATGGACATCACGCACAGAATAGCCTGATCATGACCTTGAACCTGTGCAATTACTGATATGATTGGTTACTTTAATCCAAATGATGCAATTACTAAATTTCGAATCACATGTATTTTGTTAACATATAGAACCAGCTATGTTTCGGTTCTATAACTCTTTAGCAAATTCAAAGCAGAACCGTATAAGATGGGATCACATGATATTTCTTGAACTGTAGATTTTAATGGAGTGTAATTAGATTTTAGTCCCGCGACAGTCAAACATGCGGTTATAACCGCTGCTACGTCATCAGTTTAGATTTTTAAGTTCCATTACCAAATGATGGCATTCTAGGGTGTATCTTTGATTTTCGACATCACACAAAATTGCTTTTTTGTTCTTAAAAGGTTTGGACTTGCAACCTTTTTTTTTTACCTGCCAATTGTTTTGTTTTTTATTTTCATTATTAGCCTAGTTTTCCTAAGTCGATTTTTTAACTGGGCGATTGTTCTTTTATGACACTTTGACAATCGCCGCAAATACCTAATTTTTCCTACATAAATCAGTCTAGGTCGCATCGGCAGATGCCCGAGTTTCTCTATTTATGAAATTAATTTTACTAGTATCTCTTCCGCTATCCCTTTTACCCAGCTTCCAAGTCTTTGTCTTCAGTCTGACCAGTCTATTTTGAATGTGTTTATCCCCACGCGTCACACAGTCGTCATGTAAAGCAGTTATGATAGACCGATGCTCCGTAGTTGTCGGAAATTTATTAAGCCTATTTGTGATTTTTGCCATGGGAAGTATGCTTACGGTGCTCAAATCATGGGGGTACATGTCCAATCCAATGCTGGATAGCAAATCATCGGTGGACGCTATCTTGCAGGGCTCAGTGTCAGATCTAGAAAAAAGTCCGTCGATCAACGCTCAAGGCCACAAAAAATTAAATAAGATACTCCAAACATAATTTACAACAATTTACCGACAAGGTGCCTGGAAAATAAAGACTCCAAATACAAATTTTGTTTCGGTTATTTTCCGGTCTCAAAAAGTTCTGCGTATTTAGAGCTAGAAAATATTTTTTTCCTAAAGTAATTAGAGCACAACGTAAACGAAGGTTGTAACCACTAAATAAAAGTAAATCTCAAAGTATTGTAATCAGTTTATCTTGCCACGCTCATTATGTTGAAAGTTAGAAAAGAAACGAAGATATTACAGCTAGCCCTGTACCATAATCGCCAAAATCAAAGAGTGCAATTGAAATTTTTGCTCAGGTTCGCTATTAAATAAACACGAAAGTCGAAGTGCGTAATGAGTGTATTTTTTACTCGGCTTTGTATACCAATACATGTTTGTAAAATACCTCGTGTGACGTATATTTGCTGTGACCTCCGAACCCACATGCGCGGGACTAAACTTGGCTCACTTCAGAAAATCTCTCGAAGATGCAATCAGACAGATAAGTGGGTCAGTTTTTAATAGGACAAATATTTCAGTCTCTGAACCACTCTAGTAATGATATATACACTCATGATTAAGTAGTAGTGTTTGGTGTCAATATATAACTTTTCGGGGGCGCAGATCACATGTTCAAATTCCAAGATGGTGGCGTTTAATAGGTTTTCGGTGAATGGGTAATGATACGCTAACCATAGATCCAGGTCAGGGGTTACATAATTGGACACAAAGCCGCTTGAAGTAGACAATGTGCTTATCAGGATCTGTTCACATTGAAAGGATATTTACAGTTGGGAGAGGTCTAGTTAACCACCTGTTCACGAACTTTTCTTTGAATCTCATGGCTTTATATTAAAGGAGCTAAATCGCTAACATTTGGGACCTAGAAATTGACAAAAGTGGGTCGCAACGCATATTTTACTGTAATATGAATGTATATAAACTGATTTACATTCAATGGTTTCCGTTTTTACTCCAATTTCAAAATCAGTTATGTTCGGCGAAATAAGCCAGCAGTCTCAAGCGAGTGCAAATTTCTAGCGTCTGGTTATTCCAGTCTACATACGCCGTTTGATTTGGTGCAATGTGTCTAGCTTCGTCCCTCGAGTCTCTTGATACAACTGGGTCTGAAGCGCCTTATATTATACACGATTCGTGTACCAATGGTAAAATGTTTATTTTGTCTTAAATATTGGATATCAAAAGCCCATCTTTTTCCGGTAAGATCACAACATGAATGTTGATTTAATTTGACAAATAAATCGAGTTTTCAATGTTGAAGATTTTGGATGATATTGAGTTAGAGACTTAGCTACTTTAAATATACTAGTAACATACCGGCTTCTTTTTCGTCAGCATCTTGGAGTTTGGCAGATGAGTCTTTTATCGCCCCGTTTTCAATGTGCAGCTCATGTATTTTCAGCTTCAAGGTTTGGTTTTCATTCTGAAGGTGTATCAGTCTTTCGTTATAGTTCTTCTCATCTTAAAAATGCAAGTTCCAAAATTATGTTGTATTACATACTTTTAATAGCGAGAACTCGTGTAAGGTTGACCGTATATTAAATACGTTATTTATTACAAGTCTCTCAACGTACCTTCGATATATAAACAATCTCACTAAGTACTCACAACATATTAAAACAGTAATACGACTATGCAAACCAGAATATGTTTTCGTCATTATTGAGCATTTAGTCAAACTAATACCTGAATATGCATATTAATTTAGAAATTCTAACAGTATAACCTCCGACACTTTCCCTCTATATGGAAATCTGTTGTGGCTTTTTTTGAAATATTAACTTCTTGCTCTTTGAATTCTCAACTTCTCGCCCCTCAACTTCTCAACTTCTAGCTTTAGAATCCTCGACTTGCCGCTGTGAGAAGTCGAGATTATAAAATGATCGCAACAGGCTTCCATAGTATCACAGTAAATCAACCTTATTTGGTAGCCTACCAATTTAAAAATTAAACCCGCTTTCCACGTACGCGTTAACGCGTGAGTTTGGCCCGTCGAAAAAGTCCTTCAGGTTGCGGGAAAGTTGCTTGATAAGCGACTTTTTCCCAATTTTTTCTCGTTTGAAGTCTGCGAATGCGTACCCAACCAGATGTTTACGTGGAAACAAACTGTATTTTGAACCAATGCTGATTTTTCATACAACTACAGATTTTTTGGCCATAGTGCTATTGTTAAAGGCGGCGACTGAACGTAAACAATGTCGGGCTCCATGGTGTAAAGAGAAATCCTTGCTTATGAAGTCATTTGCGCTGGTCCCTAAACTTTTCAGCGAATTTTCGGTATACATGGAAATGCAAATAACCGCGCGACGAAGCGCTATATTTTCCGCTGGAGTACACGCGTACATAGGAAGTGGATCTTTAGAGTTTTCAGATGTTGTACTTGGGAAATGTGTAGGTTTGTAAGATTCAATAAGTTTGTAGATGACCATTACATTTCATGTCTTTAAAGGACAATGTTGGTGCTAGTCATTATCACACATCTGATAAAAATGGTTAAACACGTTCCAAATATTATTTTATTACAGAGATCATTGCTACGATAGATGCGTAATCAATTCTTCAACAATCGGAATTTCTGCTCACTAATAATTCCTTCGAAGACCAAAAGTTTTCATATGAGGCTGTAAGGATCTGACAATTCAAAAAAGTAATTGAATGTCATTAGATACGAGAACACGAGAAAAATAGAAACAGTCAGTACATTCACGTGTGTATTCATTCTATACTTATAAAAACATGGTAATGCACGGACTTTTTCTATTTTTCTTTCATGTTCTCTTATCTAGTGAGAGTCATTTTTTTATGGATTGTCCGATATCCTTTCACAGTCTCACACAACAACGTTTGGTCTTCGAAGGAATTATTAGTGAGCAGACATTCGCCCATTTATCTGTTATCACCCGTTACTTCGGTCAGTTATAATATAGAGGGATAACTCGTGTTTTCCTTTTGCGTTCGTCACTTCCGATTGTTGAAGCATTGATTACGCAGCTATCGTAGCAATGATCTCTGTGATAAAATAATATTTGGAACGTGTTTAACCAGTTCTATCACACATATGATAATGACTGGCACCAATACTGTCCTTTAACCCATGCAAAGATTTTATTAATAAATAACCATTAAGCTTCTATAATAAGGGGGGGGGGCGAATGGTGTAATACGTGAGCGTTAGATCACAAGGTTTGTCATTGAGTCAGCTGGTGTGGTTTCGATTCCCCGGTTGTACGTGACAAGGAGCGTCGTCGCTTGTCCAACCTCGTGGGTTTTCCCTGGGTCCTCCTGGTTACCCCCCCCCCCACACACACACACACTGCTAAAGACCCCTACGCGCAAGCGAATTATTGAAATATAATTGAAAAATATCTTAGTCCTAAAATGACCTAATGCGTGTATGGTGGACGTTAAACCCCATTTCTCTCTCTCTCCCTCGCTTCAATAATAATCGTTTAAACCATTATTTGTCAGCTGATCATAAAATTGGTTTAAATAACTCTTTTCTCTGTCATAACCCACCTTCTTCAAGTTCTGTTTCTAATTCAGCAATATGTTGTAGCAATCTCAAATTAAACCCCTGCAATTCATCAATCTTTTCTTTTAGTTGACTAAAGTTTTCCTGGGTTACGAGTTGCAAATCTTGAATCCCATTTCTGTCAGCAACCATTTCCTCGCCATTGCCTTTGTAGAAAGAGATAAAAATATGAATCAAAAGCATTTAGTCTTGTTTTTGTCGATGAAAAACAAAACAAAGCAGCGAATCGTAACGCGAACTCATTTGAGAGAGAGAGTATTGCCTCTGTAATTGACTTCAAATTGATCTCTCTTACATATCAATGTGTGATTGAGTAGTGCTACCTTATATGAGAGAATTGTAATACCTTACATGCCACCAAAAAGTCTAAAATAAAGTACTAAGAACAACATTGTTGTCCCAAAATATAAACTCAGCTCCTTTGGAGCTCGCTCATCATTTGGTGTTGTTGCTGCCAATTTGTGGAACTCGCTACCAGAAAAACTTAGATCCTGTCCATCATTAGACTCCTTTAAATCCGGACTGAAAACATATTTGAGAAATATTTACAAGAGTGATTGTGTTTTCCGTAGCGCTGTGAGCACGAATAGATGAGGATTTAACACGATATCAGTTAAATGGTTTCCAATTGTTAATTATATATTGTACCACATTTTTGTTAAATATCATTATTTGCTTGATAACGATATCTGTATGTGTATCGAAACGTAGCATGTTAATAAATTCAGAAGTAGTATATCCATATAAGCGTTTTTAATCAATAAATACCTCCATCAATTTTATTAAATGAAAATCCCTCTGTTGATACTTTGTTATCACCAATATATCCAGATTTCACCTTCGATTCCAAAACTTCACGAAGTTCGCTTTCACTCTTTGAACCCAGTGATATCAGACGGAACGTGACCTGAACACAGCCCTTACTGTAAAAGATTATTTTAACATATATTAATATGGAAACGCCGTATTCACAAGGAGAATATTACGAATATCTGAGAGTATACGCCTGATGTTAATTAAGAGGTATGAAGCTTTTATTTCGAGATTGGATGCATAACATGTAGTTTTAGAAACATCCGAACATAAATAAATCGCTTTGTTTAAGTATCAATTATCCATAATTTGGTCAAACCGTCAATTTTAATTATCCATAATTTTGTCCATGTCTTATGAAATTAAGGATAGGATATGTAGAATATGACTATCCGTAATATTTCTTTGTCGCCACTGTCCTTTGCAATACTTTAGGCCCTACTAACCGAAAATGCTATTGACGGTTCTTGTCGTTGCTTAATAATTGTCAAGAGCGGTTGATTAGGTGACGGTTTTGCTGACGCATCATCTATTATGGTGACTAGCAAAGCTGTCACTTTGACCGGACTTTATTCTGGCTCAATCGAATGAAATTTCGATTCGGACGTTACGAACCGACAATTGGAAACCAGCCTATTGTCAGTGTAAGGCGTCAAAGTAAATACACTGAATCTAATATGTCATTAAAATAACTACTTACGTCAATTCTGTAATGACTAGTAATTCCGTTGAATCGTATATATCTTCTAAATCTCCTTCTACCTTTTTCATAAACTCTTTATGTTTTGGATGGTCTTTTGTGATCAGTTCGTGACAATGGTGATCAGGTAATTTAATGATGCCCCCAAACACTTCTGGCAAATAAAAGGTAAGACGGGTAGAATTTGTAATTTTGTACACTAAGAGCTGGTAATACATTTTCAATAGCGGAAGGTAAAGTCCGTGTGTCATATATCGTCCATTATATTATACATATAATATATCTTAGTTATGTTTAGTAATGGTCATTGTAACACCTTTTACAAATGATTAATGTTTAGTTCGATTTTACTATTGATTATGGAGCTTTAACAAAATTTCACAAACGTTTTGTGAACATCAGTAAATATTACATGGATTAAATCACTGCAGGGCGTTTATGTGTACGGTATTTTACCATCGGAAGTAGTGTTTACTACTTGGTTCTGTATTGCAGTAATAATCAAGGAAGTCGTATAGGCAAATGATTACTACTTACCACAGTTGGGTTCTAGTTTCTTGATAACATTTCTATAATCCGTTAGTTCTAAACATTTCAGGAAAATTGTGTACGCATATCTGCCACACCTCAATAACATGAATAGCATTTTTTCGGCACACCTTTTTCTGCCCTGATTCTCCAGTATTTTTCTAAGTTTTTCTACGTCGTCGTCGTTAATAAGAAACTTTGAAAACATCATGGTAATCAGATTTTCTGGGTGTAATTCTTCAATAAGAAACGGCATGTGGACAATAAACTTCACTCGATCTTTTTCTGCCATCATACCCCCTCGTTCTTTTAATGGTATTATAACTGTAACATACAATAAAATAGCGATACTCTTTCTAAACAATAATGCGGAGAAAATCGAACAAGAATTAAAAGTCTCGTTTTCCGGAAAATACTAAATTTTCCACGATTTGATCCACGCTCAAAATGTACCCCGATGTTTATAAGTAAGGAAACAAAATCATTTTAAATTGTTTATATACTACTTGTTAATTAAATAGTATTTGGGGTGACTATTCCTTGCAATCTTAACCTATACATCATTCGAAACCTATGCATTAATATTATTGTAATGGATATAAGTCGTACATTTATTCATTTGTTTCTTTATTAATTCATTCATTCATTTAATGTACGATATGTTGTTTTTATAACTTGGTTAAATTTCATTTGATTTCTTTTAGTACCGATTATACCTGAAGAAGCCACTAATCTTGTAACTTGGTAACCGATGGTGGACAGACTGTATGATAAGCTTAATCCTTATTATTTATATTTGTAATTATTGTCTTTAATGTTTTATGGTTACCTACGTTCGTTAATTGTGTATATTTAAATATTTAATTTAATCCTTAGATACTAGCTTCTTAAAATACCGAATGGTACATTCATTCAAGATTCTAGGTTTCATCCCGTTTCCAGGGCAGTTATTCTGGCGCAAGTTACAACACTTTATGTCTTTATAGTTTCGTCAATTAATCAGTCAATATTCAGAATAGTTTTGTTTTTGAAAATAGTTAATTACTTTTCACATTTTTCTGGTGTCGCAGCACATAACTAGTGCCAATATTCCCTGAAACAGTTTGCAAAACTTTACTTTGCAGCTATTTTTAAGGAGGTATAATACATATGCACATACAAGGCAATAATAATGATTGTTAAAAACGAAAACGGTAGTTTTAAGTCTTAGCACGTAATGGCTAGTAATAAAATCTTACCGGGTCGCGAGCCTTGTTTAACGTCGTTTGTTCTACCCTTCTCTTGTATTAGCATTTCGTTTTTTTGTTTTAGCTCTTCGTTTTTTTGTTTTAGCTCTTCGTTTTCTTCGTTTTTTTGTTTTAGCTCTTCGTTTTCTTGTTTCAGCTTTTCAAATTCTTCTGCCCAAGGGTTTGGTACAAAAGCATCTCCGGGTTTACTTACAGTTGATTGTGGCGATTCGTCGAGCTTTTCAGCCGTTTCTCCGTCCTCGTGCTTCGGATCCGCGATAGTTTGAGGTAGATCCGATTTCCCAATGGTCGTTACAGCCAATTTCGCCTGGTCGCCATCACACACTCCTGTATTATGACAGAGTAAATGAGCATCTGTACATGTTGCAATTCCATCGCATTTACAAGACGAATCTTTAGCCGTGATGTGCGAAGAATTGTCCACAGAGCTGTCAGATTTGATAATACCAGGGTCTTGTCTTTGCTTTTCACATTCTTCCATATTACGTTTGTTTTGCCAGCTAATATGAGAAGGTATGGCTAACATTGAAATGAAACGGTCTGAAATGTAATAACAAATGATAGAGAGTGATCAATCATTTAACACATTAGTTCTTGTCTAATATACAAAACTCTACAGACAACACTATACATCGGGACTATATATCACAACACACCTAACTACAATACACACCTATCACCATACAGAATAATACAGCGGAACTCTATATCACAGCACACTATACTACACAAACCAAAACAAAATAAAATCAATGCAGAGGAACTTTATCACCATACTATACCATACAGAATAATACAGCGGCACTTTATATCACAGCACTATACTATACAAAATATTATAGTGGGGCTTTATATCACAGCAGACCATAGTACTCTATATCACCACACTATCATATACAAACCATTATAGCGGGAGAGAGAGAGAGAGAAATGGGGTTTAACGTCCACTCGACACAAACTAGGTCATTTCGGGACTAGCATATGGTTTAATTTTATTTACATAATTCGCTTGCGCGTAGGGGTCTTTACAAGTAGGAGAAAACCCACGAGGTTGGACAGGCGACCCTACTCCTTGCTACATACAACCGGGGATTCGAAACCACGCCAGTCGACTCAATGACAGACTTTATGATACAGCGCGCGCACGCTAACCATTCAGCCCCCCCCCCCCATTACAGTGGGACCGTGCTTCACAACAAAACAGTACAATGCGGCGCGCTTTATTTCACAACATTGTAAATTTGTTTTTATTGAATGAAATTATCGCTGTTAACTATGGTGTACATGAGCAGTTATATCGAGATCTAATAATAATAATAATGATATTCAATCCACTAGGGAATGCTCTAGGAGCTACAAAATTATCTCACTTTGGATTGTTAAAGATAGTGACTAAATAACTCAAGTTTTCACTCTGGATTTAAAAACTGACAAAGAATCACATTGAGCATTCCGAACATCTGATTCACTGTATCGTAAAAGTTCTGGATTCAAATGATTTCAAATTATAGGTAGATACATCCAATGACAATTTGGCTTCTGAACGTAATGAGCGGTGGGATAATACAATGGTACTAGATTTGAACATAACCTGGATCCGATTTGTTGATAGATTTATAAGTTAAAGATATGATTATTTTAAAGAACACAGGGTCAAAGTAAATTAAATCCAGTGGATTATCTACATTAAGTACAGTAAACTACTCGAAAGACGACTACAAATCAAATCGCTGGTTGTGTCTATTTATATCGCCTGTTGATGTCATGATCTAGATTCGTTTCTGGCGTACCCCAGCTAACCAAATATAGTTTTCCGAACGTTTTAAAAACATAAGTATTTTGTTATTCAGCGTTCGTTCAGAATGTTTGTGTCACGTAACCCAGGAAAGATTATTTTGTCGTAAGGCCAATTTCATTTAGAAACGTTACAGGATACGCTAATTAGACGTTACTGTTAACGTTTTCAACACATTAAACACACATCGTCCTATTGTAACACTATTAGTGATACCAGTAGATCAGTTTCGTACATATAGAGAATCTCCGACCAGTCTTTTTTGATGTCAAAAAATATCAACACAAGTTGATAAAGTAACAACAAACGAGGCTCTGCCGATTTTTTTTTTACTTTATCAACGAGTGTTGATATTTTTTGATATCAAAAAGACGAGTAGGAGATTTTATTTATCACCCAATCCCTTCTTACATGCACAAATAGATAAATATAAATCTTTGCTGTAGATTTCACTTTTACTGAACATTACGGCGTAGTGATACATCATTTTTTGACAACAATTCAACCATTTCAAAGTCCTTTATATTGACCATCAAGGTCAATTGAATAACAATAGTTCATTTTTAATTAAAAAAAAAAGTTACTTTTAATAAGAAATGAACTGTTCTTTGAAAATAAAAAAAGTAGTTCCTTTTCAACTGACCAATCAAATTCATGTAAAGATTATAAAATATATCACACAAGCGATATCTGCTGTAGAATTTATTATTGGGTGATAAATAGGGGTTATTTACACCAGGCACATACATACAACAACAATACAGGAACATACACTATATAGGAACACATCAGGACGGTACATAACTATTAAATCCAAGGTAGCAGCTGAACTCGAGTTAGTCCATGTACTCGTCCAAGCCTCTCCCCCCCCCCCCCACACACGCTTGTCTCTGGTCGTCCCGTATCTGCGTCTATGCTCATCTCTTTGTCGGCAAACTCCTTGTTTTATACAGGTCGACAATAGATAAGACTCATAATCATATATGGAAATGTCTTCTTATCACGTCATGGTGTGATTACGTACAAGTGCGTATTCCTTTGAAGTTATACGGAGCTTGTACACATATCATATTTAGTTTGAAAATGACATATGGGATTAATTACATGTTTAATTAGAACGTGACGAAACATAAGTATACAGAGTTGAAAGGTCGATATCATCTATTATCAAAACCAGCTGGGGCCAATAAGTTCTCAGAATCTAATAGTTCGTATTTTATTAAATACAAAATACGACAACAAATGAGGAAATAAGAATTAAGAACTTAGAATTAGGAAAACTGAATAAAGTCCTGTTTGGTCTTCCATAAACGCCCGCTTCCACCGACAAGTGTTCAATCTATAAAAGCCCACATTCCTACAAAATGTTACTTTATTCATGTGAAACAAGAAAATTCATAACTCACCTAAACAAATTTAAATTGGCTATGAAGTTGCATCTAATTCGGGTTCCCGGCTCTGTACCCGTAGAAAAGGGACGTAATTAGTGTATAATGCCGATTATTCAGGTCTTACAGATGTAGCGGAACAAGTGAAAAATTTATGCGTTCGTTGTTACAGCGCGTATCAGTTCAAATTACTATTATAACTTTTAAGTTATTTATTCTATTTTTTTCTTATACTGAAGCCATTCGTAGTTTAGTCACGTAAACATTTTATCAGTGGCCTCTACTGTGCGAGCGTACGTAACTAACGTACGAAAATTAATTGGTGGCTAGCTTTTTTTTCGCACGTATACAGCGAATGGCCATTTTGCTCAGTAATCCCAGCCAGAATTTGGCTATTTTCTAAATTTGCGTTAAAGTTTAAAATATTTGTTTTAGAACTGAAACACATTAACTATTAGTCAATCCCAACGCTAAAAACATCAACAGAATTGATTGTGTATATCTGAAATAGACCCGACCGACGCACAAAATAGTGCAATATGTCGGCCCCTATGAACAACCCTCGCAGACGCTGTCATTAAAAGACAACGTCAATTCTATGAGTTGTAGATGTTATTTTTGTGAAAAATCATTGGAAGAAGAGAGAACATGTTGGGACTACGAATTGTTTACAATGTTGACTTCATGACCCATTGACGTCTATGTCATGACCTGTGATGTGTAGATCACGTGATATGTTCAGAATGCTGTGCGAGTAGACTACGTACACTACACTACAAATATAGGTTAGCGATATACCACACCGTCTCACGGTGTATACGTTATTAATATAAAACAGTAGTAACATATATTTTACTTACCATGAATACATAAACAGTAGAGACGATACGTTTACAAATGGTAGGGGTCTAAGTTTTAATGACGTAATGAAATACTTCCTCCCCATAAATAGCTCTAGTTTCGGTTTAATACCGGACCCGGATATATAATTTATCTATACTGTACACTCACCTTGTAATCATATCATAGTCACCAAAATAAATCTGACTAGAACTGCGATGCAGTAATGACGGGTTTCACTGGCGCCAGGTTACCCATGAACTTATTACACTTCCGGTGCCACGTTAGCCTTGAACTTATGTCATATCCGGTACCAATGAAACCGTTAAACAGCTTTCCACATAAGTATTCCACACGTGTTATAAAATAGACGCAGAGTCAACCAAATCCAGCAATATCAATTCCATTTATACATTTGTTACCATGTGTTATTACACATGTCAAAAACGTGATCCTGACAAAATGTGTTACTAACTTACCGATAAGTTAGCTCACTTTCTAATGGGAATTTCTCGACAAGGGAAGTTGCTAGAGGCAATTTTTGGACATCTATATGATCGCATTGATCCAATCTATGTGTCAATTGGAATCAAATATTATAATGTTAAACGAATAATAAATATACTTTACTCACTTAAAAACAAAACAAAAAAACAACAACAAAAAAAAAACACAATTGTTTTAAAGGCAACAAATACAGTTTTTGCCAAAATGACATTACCTCCGGTGATAATGAAAATGTTAAATTAGTTCTATGAAATCATACATGGCATAAGGCATCACATGTTGACAATTTTATGAAAATCAGACTGATGTGAATAAAATATCTGTTTTGAATGCTAAAAATACAGTTTTGTTCCGAAATGGCGCCCTGTCTGGTGACATTGAATATGTGAAATTGGTTCCGCCAAGTCAAAAGTGACATGAGGCATCACATGGTAAAGAAAAGTAAAAACTCGGACTATAATTAACTCGTTTACAGGTAAAATAATGTGAAAAGTGACTGATGCAAGATCGCCTATTTCTCGGCAACTGCTAATATAAAAAACCTATTTGGACATACATTGTTTTTGTATGGATTAATGCTACAGGTTTATGAAAGTTGTCAAGACACATTTTAAAATATGAAAAGCCTGAATGCATTGTAAATAGCTCATTTTTACACCTCTTTTATCATCCCTAAATCAAAATGGCGCAAATACAAAACCGAAATAAAAAACTAAGCCCGAAATATTTTGCTTCTTTAGAAGGAGCATTCATCTTGATCTTTCAAAATTGTAAAAAATAATATTGTCTTTTGAGAAGAACTTTCGACACGTCAAAATTGAAGTTTTGGGCAAAATCACGTCACTTCCGGTGCCGACAGAAAAGTTTAATTAACCCAGAGAACATATACTTAAATTAAAATACGAAAAATCGTAAAAAGTGATGCTGACAAAATTGGTTATTTCACGGCAAGGGAATATGTTAGAAACAATTTGTTGACATCAATATGATCGCATAGATTTATACTATTTGTCAATAGGAATCAAATGTAATTTTAAATGAATAATAAATATAACTCATTACAACAAAATATTTCTTTTGGGGGCTGACAATACAGTTTTTGCCAAAATGACATTACTTCCGGTGATAATAAAAATGTTAAATTAGATTTATGACATCGGCAATGACATTAGGCATCACATGATGGAAATTTTATGAAAATAGAATAATAATTGACACTTTTATGGACCAAAAACCTTGAAAAATGACTTGTAGAAAATCGCCTATATTACCGAACGAATAAGTTAGAAATAATTTTGTGAAATCTATATGACCCTATGAATTTTATTAATATGTGAATTTAAACCAAAAGTTAAAATTATTAATACATATTAAATAATTCTTGTTTGAAAAAAAGTTAAAAATGCAGTTTTTGACTAAATGGCGTCACTTCCGGTGTCAATTCTAAATTGTAATCAATTTGATATGACGCATATTAATATGTGAATTTAAACCAAAAGTTTGCCAAAAATCAAAAGTAGCGTAGCTATGTGCCCTGTCTCCAGCCATGCCAAAATGCATCGAAAGTTAAAATCCAACGATTATTGTTAAAATTACTGCAATATTTTTAAAAACGATAGCTTCGGTGATTTCGGCTATTTCGCATTGTTACAGAACGTTCAAAATAGCTTTATCCTCTAAGTAACACCCACTTTCCCAGTAAAACCGAAGAAATCGTAACGATGCGACAAGCAGTTGCTGAGATCTAATCAAAATGGAAAAATGATAATAATAACATTAAGAAGAAAAAGAAGAAGAATCTTAACAGAAACAAGAGTGTTAAACCCTAATTAGAAAACAGTACAACCGAGTTACTTAAATCATATGCTACTAGAGCGCATTGATTTCATACGGGAAGTGTGTTGTAGGGCATCCCAGTCACGCATATTTCAGCACAAATCTATTACAGCAAGCATGGACCTTATAATGCAGCAAGTACGAATCGGTTTTACAATCTTAGACACAAATTATGTCAGCGGGCATACTGTATGTTTGTAGTTTTGTAAGCGACACGTAAATTAGAGTTACTTTCTTAAAGATACATTGTCCCGAAAGAATTTACGCGTGGTTATTTCCAATAAAAGTATACCAAATTTAGTACATATGGAAAGTATAGACGCCCAATCTTATTAGAAATATACTGGTATACTCGAAGGAGCCACGGTGGCTAGTTGGTTAAGACGCTGACTCGCTAGCCTGGAGGTCACGTGTTCGATCCCTGCATTGGCCGAGAAAGTTCATCAGGATTTTCCGACGTGGTTCCCCCTTGTCAGTGGTGTAGAACGGAGGGCCTGGCAAGGACAGCTGTCTAGTCCTTCGGATGATACGAAAAACCGAGGTCCCGTGTATATATTGGAATGCACGTAAAAGATCCCCTGGCAGTTGGAATTCGATATAAGAGTAGGCGATAGTGCCGCTGTCCGGGCAAAATTTTCCTCATAGCACACTGTATGGCGTATTCCCATTCTTCATTAGCCCAGTATAGGAGCAGAACAGTAGGACGTTAAACCCCATTTCATTTCATTTCGGTATACTCGAAAAACACCCATTAGGCAGGCACTGGGAAAAAATGTCAGGGTATCGCTAACTGACATCCCGACGGCTTGTTGTATTTAGTTTTTAAAATAAGTTGTCTTATTATTATTATCAGGGTATTTCTTTTTTTGAGGGAATCGGACTACTCGGAGTAAACGCACGAGGTTGAGAAGGCGCCCCTATCTCCAAGTCGCATACGCTCTCACCAGCGATCGACACCACAACCACAACCGCAAGCCAGAGTTGACAGGCCAGTTAGAGGTCGACGCGCGACACTCTAGACCACTACCCCCCCCCCTCGACGGCTGCCCGACGGTTTATTGTATGCTAGCTTGAATGAGGGAACGGTTGTTGTTTCTTGATCAAATGGTTAGGCGATTTGAGGGGTGTAAACGTACAAAAGACCCTGAATTAAACGTCGGAAAAAGAAGTTAGAGAAAATAATTAAAGATGCAGTTAGGCTGCAATATGTATGGGAAATGGACACTAAGTAATGAAAACTACATTTTCAAATATGGAGCCTCCCTGAATCACATTTGGTGACCAACCATGGCTTCTAACACCAGTTTATTTATATACAAATATTGATTTTAAGATACAAATGTTAATTTGAGTTTTCAAATGTCGAAATACGACAACAAAATGAAGAAGTAAGAATTACGGACAATAAATTAAGAGCTAAGAAATAAGAACACTGAATAAAAGTCCTCGACTAATAGAATTGTCATCAGCCCGGAACTAGGTGAGATATAGCATCATGAAGTTTATATGTTTTAGCATATAACAAAAACTATGCCTCAAATGGTTCCGGAAAAAATTAATGGTCAGTAGAAGACAAGACCATGCATAATAAATGATTTTTTAAAAAATAAAATATCAATAAGAAATTTGTGGGAAATATTTGAATTTAGGGCAAAAACAATGAGGTTTGATTTTGTACTCTACAATGACCAAAGCTGGTCTTCGTAACCGTAACTACAACTTTATGTGAGGTATAGTTATAACCCAGTGATTCTCAACCAGTGGGACGTGGCACACAGGTGTTCCGCGAGATCTTCCTAAGTGTGCCGCGAAATTTTGAACGGCACACTATAAGAAAATGGGAAAAACCACATGGTCCCAACTGAGAATTCACTGACGTCTACTGATAAGTTCATAGCTGTGGTGTTTTTCTTTATGTAGTTTAAGTATGCTGTTTGACTTGCCATGATTTTATTTTGCAAAATTCAAATATTTTTCATATATATATAGCCAGTGTGTGTTTTCATGTGTTCCAAGGCAAAAGAAGGTTGAGAACGACTGTCATAACCAATGAAGAACTCTGCAAATTTGGTCAAAATCGCCCACACCGCTTGCGCCGGATATTTTAAAATTTTGCATGGTCATCTCGCAACGGCGTTCTTAAATAAAGACGCGAATTGTAATCTAAAGATACTAGTTGATCGACAGTCTCATTTCATGATGCACAACATGTAGGTCCGTAAAGCATCTCCAGGTCGAGGGCCCCCTCCTCCCCAGGGCCTCCAGACAAGAAACTTGGCGAGGGGGCTCGGGCGGGATTTCCAGGGAGTTTCTCTTCCCCCGAGTTCGAAAATGTAAGAGTAGGCCGTAGTGCGGCTGTCCGGGCAAAATTTTCCTCATAACACACTGTATGGCGTATGCCCGTCTTTATTAGCTCATTTCGGATAATTGGGAGTCACTTTGCTAATACACCGAGATTTAACACAACATATGACATACCAAATACATGTACTACCGATCGGGATAGGCCTCGATTACCTGCCGGGATCCGAATACCCTGACGGTAACCAGATTCTCAAACGGAACAAGGCCAGACTGGGCAGCCTAGGTAGCCTATAGTTTTTCATTCACCAATTTTTCCAAAATAAGTGGACTGACAGAATTCGATTCTAAACCTACCCACATTCAGAAAAATCACTTTACGACGAAATAACACTGTAGTTCATTTTATTAATTTTTGACAACATGTTTGTAAAATGAATAAAAAAAACACTCCTCGGCATACCTTCGGACACTTATAGGCTCCGGGCCCCTGGACAAGTGTCGAACGAGCTGTCCCCCTACCCCCTCTCAAGGGCCCTGCTCCAGGTTGTCTCCCATATCTAGTCTTACGGTAAACGATGAAAAGATAAAAGGTATGCGGACACAAACTGATTTCAACACTGGTTTAATAACATTTTAACATTCTAAAATACTTTTCGTCCGCCTTGCGACTATTCATAATAATATCGTGTTGTATATATATATATATATATATATATGAGTGACAGTGAGTGACCCCATTCTTCACCAGACACAATAACATAGCGATGTATATATAGCGATACATACCTTAGACAAGATATATAAGCTAACAACGCTTAGACATGATATAGCCTATATTCCATACTATAGACAATTTATATAGACTATATATTAATATATTAAACAATTTATTAATATAAGCTATATGTTAGACAATTTATTAATATAGGCTATATATATATAGGATATAGGCTATATATTAGACAATTTATTTATATAGGATATAGACTACTATTTATCTCCTATCCTTTCTGTACAGAAAGAAGATAATATATACCCCCGTCATGTGGTCAATTTCTGGAGATTATGAGGGATAGGTTAATATTTGGGATATATTAACTCGTATATCTATCTACTAGGATATCTGTTTGTTATTGTCTTATTGCCGCTGCCCGGGCAAAATTTCTCTCACAGCACGTAGCCTATGACGCTTGATCTTCTTTATTAGCCCAGTCGGAGCAGAACCGTAGGACGTTAAACCCCATTTCATTTGAATTATCAATAGCATGAATATATTTTGGATATTCACTGTAATAGATCTTTGCTGAAATAAATTCAGTATCCGTGACTGGATACCCTACAACACGCTTCCCTTATGAAATCAATGCGCTCCAGTGGTATATGATTTAAGTAACACGGTTGACTGTTTCCATTCATATTTATTTTACTGACTATGATATGATTAGAAGCTGTGCGTGCGGTATAGATTAAAGAAATATCCGTATCCGGTATTAAACCGAAAGTAGAGCTATTCATGGGGAGGAAATATTTCATTACGTCATCATAACTGAGATCTCCACCATTTTGTAGACATATCGTCTCTACTGTTTATATATTCATAGTAAGTAAAATATATGTTACTACTGTTTTATATTGATAACGTATACACCGTGAGACAGTGTGGTATATCGCTAACCTATATTTGTAGTGTAGTGTATGTAGTCTACTCGCACAGTAGAGACCATTAACTGAATACACCCGACTAACGCATTACATATTACACCAGCCAGTCTGTATCATAAATCTATCTCTGTCATTGTTTGTGGTTAATTAAACATGAATTCTACTGCTCCTACTTGTTTTTTATAAATGATAAAAACGAACTGGGGATATTTATGAAAGGAAACGAAGCAGTTCCGACTGACCTAGTACACTGGAAAGAAACAATAGAATATGGGGAATTCCCGTTTGATCATTCGACTAGTGTGATAGTATGGAAGCCTATTCCGGCCATTTTATAATCTCGACGTCCTGCCGCTAAATGTCCAAATGTTTACGAAACTTTGGTGACTATACAAATAGGTTCAATATGAACAATATAATAATAAATTAAAAGTTATAATGGACATTTGAACGGATATTTGAACGGATATTTGAACTGATATTTGCTGTAACAATGAACGCATCCCATAAATTTATCGATTGTTTTGCTATAGATATAAGACTAGAATAATCGATTGTAAACACTTCTTACGTCCTTTCTCTATAGCTACAGAAATGAAATGAAATGAAATGGGGTTTAACCTCCTACTGTTTTGCTCCGAACTGGGCTAATGAAGACGAGCAATACGCCATACAGTGTGCTATGAGGGAAATTAGGCCCGGGCAGGGGCGCTACGGCCTTGAAAGTTGGAAAAAAGTTGCAAAGTTCGATATCTGACCCAATGTAAATTTATGATAGATGAAAAACCAATATAACTAGGGTATCCCAGGCTGTCCGTAAAAGTTAAACGCTCCTCAACAGTTACAACGTAAAACATCCCATGCAAGTGTTAGGTCAGTAGGGGCGTGTCCAAAAATATGATATTGTCTATACATCCATCAAATAACAAAGCACTAACAAATCGTATTGTAACGAAACTGTATTACAGTAATATTGATGAAAGTTGTAACGACAATTAAAGTTTATATCTTGATCTTATACTTATTAACAATGCCATTCAGAGCAACATATTTTGATTTAGAAGACTTTGATTAACAATGCCATACTTTTATTAACAATGCCATTCAGAGCAACGTATTTTGATTTAGAAGACTTTGATTAACAATGCCATACTTTTATTAACAATGCCATTCAGAGCAGCATATTTTGATTTAGAAGACTTTGATTAACAATGCCATACTTTTATTAACAATGCCATTCAGAGCAACATATTTTGATTTAGAAGACTTTGATTAACAATGACATACTTTTATTAACAATGCCATTCAGAGCAGCATATTTTGATTTAGAAGACTTTGATTAACAATGCCATACTTTTATTAACAATGCCATTCAGAGCAACATATTTTGATTTAGAAGACTTTGATTAACAATGCCATACTTTTATTAACAATGCCATTCAGAGCAGCATATTTTGATTTAGAAGACTTTGATTAACAATGCCATACTTTTATTAACAATGCCATTCAGAGCAGCATATTTTGATTTAGAAGACTTTGATTAACAATGCCATACTTTTAGTAACAATGCCATTCAGAGCAGCATATTTTGATTTAGTACACTTTTACCTCGCTGCCCGCAATAAAAGAATACAAGGCATTCCTTTGAGTTTACAAGGTTCTTTAAACTTTCGTTAACTGACTGGGCTCGTGATGTTTTAATCAGAATTTATGTTTACATGACTAGCCAGTCAGTCAGCTGGGGAACGGCCAGAAATCTTGTTTAACGCGACTTATTTGAAACTAAAACCCCTGAACTCCAACAACATTGACAAACTCCCCCAAACTCAAAACAATTATGGTGGGCCACATGAAGAAAAGCAGGGTATGAAATGAAATGGGGTTTAACGTCCTACTCTTCTGCTCGTAAACTGGGCTGATGAAGACGGGCATACGCCACACAGTATGCTATGAGTGACATTTTGCCCGGGCAGTGACGTTACGACCTACTCTTATATCGAATTTCAACTGCCAAGGTTTTTTTTACATGCACGCCAATGTGTACACGGGACCTGGGTTTTTCGTCCCACCGAACGACTAGACAGCTGTCCTATCAGGGTATGGAATACATCAAGAAGTGAATTGTTTGATAATTAATGGTAAGGCTGTATGTAGATATATACTATAGTGCTATAACAATCAATGGTTTTCAGGGGGTGTGGATGACACAGTTTGTGTCGAGTGGACTTTAAACCCCATTTCTCTCTCTCTATCCATAGTTTTCAAAAGAATTTTAAACAAGTCGCACCTTCAACTACCCGAGTACCCTCGATTCATTATATTAGACAATTAAATAAATGTAATTTTTTAGGTTGACTGCGGCATGTGAATGCTGGCTGTAGATTCATTTATGCCCGAAATATCATTTATGGGAGAGGTAAAGGTTGATGTCCCTGAAGTCAATATGGGCAAACCTAAACTATCCGAGTCAATGCTATGTGAAAGCTGCAAGAACAACCTGGATACAGAATCAGTACCTTGCACATGCCCAAGAAGCCCTGATGAGTTAAAACATAGCACATCCATACGCGAAAACAAGGAAAACCAGAAACAAGAAATGTGTCCCATCAGAATGGCCGAATGTGGACATGCAAAGGCTGATGATTCAGAGAACATAGAAACAGAGCAACTACAAAAAGCTGAATCGAACCTAAAAGCTGAACTACAATGTTCTGACACACAAGAGAGTATATTACCAATACAATCATCGGAACGAGATCAACCAAAAGAACAAGTTGTTGACGTGAAACTTTTACAAACTGGATACAATAAGTTGGCAGACGAAAACAGAGAACTCAAAGAGAGGCTTGAAAAACTAGAAAAACTAGAAAAAGAAAAGAAAAGTTCTGAAGGTAATATTTTAACAGCTCCGGGATCTAAAAGTGGGTTATGTATTCCATGTTTATAGACTTAACGTATATTATTCAGTCCGTGGTTTGGGCTCCTCCACCGAAATCCCACTGTATTCAATGTTTACATGTTTACATGTTCACATTTTCTTTGTGACACTCTGCAGGTCACAATGTTTATCAGCTTTTGACGTAACTTGAAATAAAGGTTTATATCTATCCCAATGATGTCGGTCGGTTCTCTTCGATATTCCTGCTTATTCATGGGTTATGGATACCGATTGTACGAAAAATTGTTTGGTTTTTTTTCAGCTTGTGAACACTCTGGAAGTCACAATTTTATCCGATTTTCATGAAACTAAAGATCTATGTTTCTATTAATGTTGGCACACATTAATAGGCACCCTGATTGTTAAATAAACAATCACGTCATTTACTTTTGGAACCTCTAGAGGTCACAATTTTTATTTGATTTTAAAAATCATTGAAACATATCACCATCAAATATATCACCGTAACTATGGTTGAGTTCGAATTTTGTGAAAATCGGACGGAAACTGCCCGACAAAATGGCAGTTGAAATCCCAAGGCTGTGGACTCTCTAGAGGTCACAATTTTTTATCCCATTTTGATGAAACCTAAAGTATATGATTATATTCCAAAGATCTCGGTTCCATTCGATATTGTTGGGTATCGGGCGGTCACTTCGTGGATTATGGCCCAGATTGTATGAAAGTTCGCGTTTTTAGCTTGTGGACATTCTAGAGGTTACAAGTTTTATCGGATTTTGATGAAAATGAAAGTGTATGTTTACACCCCTGTTCCTTGCTTTACTGGTGCATATCGGACCGTAAATTCCTGGATTATGGCGCCTGATTGTAAGAACAGGCGGTTGCCATGCAAGATACGTCCACATTTTGCAAGAGATGGACAGAGAACAAGCTCAAAAAAAAAAAGAAGAAGCGATTTTCGTACAATCAGGGGCCATAATCGAGGAAGTTACGGTCCGATATGGGTGAATATCTACATGAATCGATACTAGTATCTTCCGGATATAAACATATTTTAAGTTTCATCAAAATCAAGTAAAAACTGTTACCTGTAGAGGGTCCACAACCTTGATATTACATACTTTTACACAAACAGCGTACAGGGAGCGGCCATTTTGACGGGCAGTTTCGTTCCGATTTTTTACGAAATTCGAATTCAACCATCATTAGGGTGTAACGTTGACATATGTAAACGTTTTTGAAAATCGGATAATTGTAACCTTTTGAGAGTCCACAAACTAAAAACGTGAGTTTTCGTACAATGATCAGGGGGCCATAATCCCGTACGTTACGGTCCAATATAGGCAAATATCTACAGGAACCAAGATCGTTGGGATTTAAACATAGATGTTGAGTTTCATCAAAATCGGATCAAAATGGTGACCTCTAGAATGTTCCACAAACTTGATACACAATACTTGTACACTATTTGCGTATGAGGAGCGGCCATTTCTATCGGCAGTTTCGGTCCGATTTTCACGAAATTCGAACTCAATCATCATTATGGTGTAACGATGATATATGTGAACGGTTTTACTAATGAGATAAAAATTGTAACCTCTAGCTAAAAACACGATATCATGGGGCCATAATCCAGGAAGTTGCGGTCTGATATGCGCGTGTATCGGCAGGAACCACGGTCGTTGGTTTATAAACATACATTTCAATTACCATCACAATCGGATAAAAATAGTGACCTCTAGAGTATCCACAAGCTAAAAACGTGATTTTTCGTACAATCCAGGAGATTTCGATCCGATACACGCCAATATCGAAAGGATCAGCGATCTTTTGGAGATAAACCTATATTTGAAGTTTCTTCAAATTGTGACCTGTAGAGTGTCCACAAACAAATTGTAAACGGGCGGGGGCAATTTACTGCCCATAAAGCACCCAATAACTTCGAACATACCGTCCAGAAGAGCTCTAACGACGTATTTAGCTATTGGTGGGCATATGCATCGTTACTTATCAACCTGACAAAAACTCATTTATACTTATTAAATCATGTTGATATTTTTACTTACATACAAAGACGAAGGAAGCAAAGTTCTACAGACAATTCCTTTAATTGAGCAGCAAGGCAAAATGTTAGAAGAGGATTATTCCAAAATACGGAATAATATAGAATTCTTGATGGAGGAATTAGATCCGGATGTGTTAATAACTGCCTTGTTTTCAAAATGTGTTCTCACGGAGGATGATGTTGAGGAACTAGATAAGATCGCTGAATCTAGCAAACAAAGATGTGTTAGACAAATGTTAATGAGGTTATTGAGGCGTGGACAAGACGCGTATAAGAAGTTTTTAAAATGTCTTGAACTAAAAGGTTATTGGCAAGCTATAAAACGGCTTGAACCAGACTCTGGTAAGTATAGTTTACATCAATCAGTTGTCATCAGGGAAACAACTTCCCGTTGTCTTCTGACAATCGTTTGTCGTTATTAAAGACAAATTCCCATGAAAGTATTTATATATTATGGTAGTTATTTCCAATAACGCATGGCAAATTTGGTATATATGGAAATACGAGACACTCAATATTGAGTATCATAAGGGGTGTTTGATTCAACGGCGGACAGAGAATTTAATTAGTCTTCGATATTTATGACAAATGAGTAGCTAGTAACGACAAATATAATCTTAAAGATAGACATACCCTCAACCAAGTTCAGCGGCTGCTTTTACAAAATATATGTTTACGGTTCTGGGGTTGTTTCTTGTGATTCAAATGTTTTGAGAGGGAATTGAAGCAAACGTTTGATAGATAAATCAGTTTGATTATGGTTTTAGTCCAAATAGAACATCAAATCACATAGTTTGTAAATAAAAATCTGGAAACTGGTTGATTCAAAACAAAGTTGAAACAGAGTTTATAGACGTCGTTTAAATATAGCCAAGTTTGGACTATTTTGAACTTCCAGAGGCAATTCGTTTCATTCTTTTGGTGACGCGTAGGCAAAAGCTCTCTCACCAAATTTTGACTTCTATAGGCTACTGGACATACAAGTTGGTTTTTATGAGATGAACGTAAGGAAAGAGAAGGTACATATTGTTTAATCAAATCGGATAAATAGGATGGTACCAAAGGATCGTTTAAATAGTTGAAAGTGATTGTGTTAAGTTTGAAATGATGCGTTGATTAACCGGTGACCAATGTAACTGTTTTAGAACAGGTGTAATATGGTCAGATGGTTTGGTGAGAAATACAATTCGAGCTGCTCTATTCTGGATTTTCTGTAGCTGACTTACAAGCGTTTCAGGAAGAGAATACATTAATGAATTACAATAATCTAAAGATGACATAACAAAAGCATTTATTAACATTTTAATGGTATCAAGGTCAATATAGGGTCTAATATAATTGATAATGTCAACAAGAAACTAGTAAAGATGATAAAATAGAGAAACTAGTAAGGATGATAAAATAGAGAAACAAATAAATAAAAACAAATTAGGAGATCGATTCCCCAAAGTAGGATTCAATGATTTACTTGACCTAAGTAGGAGTTAGAAACCTGTCTGTTCTCAGCAGACAGGGTTGAAGCAGAATAAATGAAATGGGATTTAACGCCCTACTGCTGTGCCCCTAATGAAGACGGTCATACAACATACAGTGTGGGACATTTGGCCCAGACAGTGGTGCTTCAACCCACTCGTATATCGAATTCCAACTGCCACGGGATCTTTTACGTGCACGCCAATGTGTACATTGCACCTTGGTTTTTCTTCACATCCGAACGACTAGATACCTGTCGGAAAATCTCCAGGAACTTTCTCGGCTCACACCGGGAGCGAACCCAAACCTGAAGCAATCTCTAGCTGTTTTAATCTTGTTCAGCGAGATCTTAAGTGGGCACAACCATTATATGTTTCCAAACAGCAGGACGTTAAACCTCATTTTATTTCATTTATATGCCTCCACGACAAGAGTTCTGTAAGATATAGTGTTTTGTTTAGCCCTAATAGGCTTCTGTAATAATAGTTTACATAACATTTGAAGCCAAACTAAAGACAATCAATTGACAATTCGGCAATATATAATGATTTTACTACATTTACAGTAAGATACAAGAGCCATATTAAATATCCCGGAGAGACGTTAATCGAATTAATAGATTCTTCCAATCCACATCGTAAAGAATTTATTAATGAAGTAGAAGACAACATAGAAGGTTTATACCCAGAATCTACAGAGTTTGTCATCGTAATAAAACTAGCGTAAGTAATATACAAGTTAATGATATTCACATCCAATAAAACATTAGATCAATTCCCTTAAAACATAAGGGTATTATGAACTGTAAATCTCAAACATTCCAACCCCAATGTGTTGAGGTCGCCTGTCCAACCTCGTTGGTTTTCTCCGAGTCCTCCGGTTTCCTCCCACTGCTAAAGACCCCTACGCGCAAGCGAACTATTGAAATAAAAAATTAAACCATATGTTAGTCCCGAAATGACATAGTTTGTGTCGAGTGGGCGTTAAACCCCATCTCTCTCTCTCTCTCTCTCTCTCTCTCTCTCTCTCTCTCTCTCTCTCAAGTGACATGTAAACGGACTCATAAAGTAAACGCTTTGTATTTTACATAATTATATAGAATTCTGCATTGATGACAATTTGTTTTTCTAATAATGAATCTATTTTACAGCAAGGGATGTGTGCAGGTGACTTTCAGTCTGATATCTTTGAATTCCAACAAGAGTGAAAGTGAACTTCGTCAGATTTTAGAAACGGCCGTGAAATCTGGTTATATTGGAAGGAAAAAAGTATCAACAGAGGGATTTATATTTGAAAAGGTCGAAGAAGGTATTTCATAGTTCCTAGTTTGTAGGAATTATATTTGACATTCGCATTTCCAAATGCTTTTATTATACCTCACATTGGAATATGGTACTATATTATCGTCACTTGTCAGTAAGTTCGTGGGCAATAGTCCGCAATTTCATGGACGCTTTCAGACTAAAGTTATCATCCATCTGGATGACTTGAAATGTTTACACGGTGCTTATGTTCCCGCGACGAAGAGGTCAATTCAAATAATCTGATGCACTTTCTGGAGACGAAATTTATCATCCGAGTGAATTAAAGCCTGTTGATTTTCACCGATTACTGCTGGAGTTAGGACCCTTGATTAAGTTTTAGAAAAATTATGTAGAAGCCGTAGCGGATCAGGTTATAACCCGATTAATACACGGTTTTTAGTTTCTTGCGAGAAAAAACCTATTTATTCGAAAGGCTAAGGGTATCATCTGATTACCAGTACTTGTAGTTAAACTATTCGGCCACCCACGCGATGTAGCTGCTGAGGGAGTATGTTTTTTGGCTGGCAATTTAACTTCACAATTTTAATGGAAGTATTACACACGTGACTAGTTTTGTCACTTGGTCAACTGTATTTTTAAATTGTTCTGTTGAAGGTGATGAACCTACTAGCATGCCGGAACAACATAATATTCAAAATCAATTTACGAACCTAAAGCGGAAGTTGAAAGATACGGAAGAGGATAATTCTAACTTGAGAAAAAAAGTGAGCGAATTAGTAGATGAATGCAAAAAGGCAAAAACACGCCAAGAAGAGGTCGAAAGCGGTAAGCATATATTTGATATTATAATCGAACATTTTCTCATTTGTAGGCAGACTTAAATTTTGCCGGATATATTTAGGTGTTTGATTTGAAGGTCAATATCCAATCCAAAGTAACACCATAATCGTCACTTCACTGGTTTGTGCTAGGAATAAAAAAACGACGTCATGCTAGTTGGAGCACTGAATAATCCTGGGTGTCGTACCCCGGGATGGGGGATAGAAGAACCTTTGATACTTCTGACACCTCCATCCTCACTCCTTCATTGACCTGGTCATAGATCACAATTAAGAGAGAGAGAGAGAGAGAGAGAGAGAGAGAGAGATGGTTTAACTTCAACTCGACACAAACTAGGTCGATTCGGGACTAACATATGGTTCAATTTTATTTCCATAATTCGCGTAGGGGTCAATGCAGAATTCTATATAATTATGTAAAATACAAAGCATTTACTTTATGAGTCCGTTATGACAGAGATATGTGGTTTAACGCCCACTCGACACAGACTATGTCATTTCGGGACTAACATATGGTTTAATTTTTAATTTCAATAGTTTGCTTGCGCGTAGGGGTCTTTAGCAGTGGGAGGAAACCGGAGGACCCGGAGAAAACCCACGAGGTTGGACAGGCGACTCTACTCCTTGTCACATACAACCGGGGATTCGAAACCACACCAGATGACTCAATGACAGGCTTTATGATACAGCACGCACGTGCTAACCATTCAGCCATCCAACCCCCATCACAATTAAGAGGAGATGGAAATGTCTATTATATGTTTACTATGGCCGTCACCGTGGTATTGGGTTTTTAATAACAGACATACGTAGTGTTATAGATTGTAATATTATTTAGTTATTGCCTGTCTCATATTTTATTGCCCAACAACAGTAGGGTCTATTTGTCTTTCCTTTTTATACATCCATATTTTATGAAAGGGTGTATTATTTATCTGTAAAGAACGGCGATCACGGTGGTATAGTGTTTGCGATAACTGACATATCAATATATAATAGAATGTAATAGTATTTGGTGATTGAATGCCGCAGAGGTACTAATATATATTTTGTCCCACACCTATATGTTTCTTTTCAATCCGAGGGCCTGTCTGTCTTCCATGTGGACGTATATTGACGTCGCCCCTTCCGTCCGGTCGAATTTTATTTTTGGACACTCTGGGGTTCATAATTTTTATCCAAATTTGGCGATTCCTTTGGACATTGGCGCATATCGGTTTTTGGTCTCTAAAAATCCTGTGCTTAGATTTTAGCGTATGTGGTTATAACCCTTTAATCGTTGTAATTTCAAATTATAATGATTTTGACATATACTGCAGAATATAGCTAATTCTGGAATAAAATACCATTTGCAAGAACATTACACATAGATTTTCCATAAAATTTTCTCATTCTTAATCCCGTCCCATTAATGGGGCGCTGAAAATCTTGTGGACGCTCTAGAGGTCAAAGTTAATATCCGATTGACTTTAAATTTTTACACAGTGTTTAAGTTCATGAGACGAAGAAGTCTATTCATTTTCAGCGATTTCAGTAATTACTGCCAGAGTTATGGCCCTTGATCACTTTAAAAAATCTTGTGGACGCTCTAGAGGCCACAGTTAATATCCGATTTACTTTAAATTTATACACAGTGTTTAAGGTTATGAGACGAAGGAGCCTATTGATTTTCAGCGATTTCCGATAATTACTGCCAGAGTTACGGCCTTTGATCACTTTGAAAAATCTTGTGGATTCTCTAAAGGCTAAAGTTAATATCTGATTGACTTTATATTTATACATAGTGTTTAAGGTCATGAGACGAAGAAGTCTATTCTTTTTCAGCGATTTTCGATAATAACAGTTATGGCCCTTGATCACTTCAAAAAATCTTGTAAATGCTTTAGAGGCTAAAGCTAATACCCGATTGACTTTAAATTTATCCACATTGTTTGGGGTCATGAGACGAAGAATCATATTGATTTTCAACGATTTCCAATAATTACTGCCAACGTTATGGCCCGTGATCACTTTGAAAAATCTTGTGACGCCCTAGAGGCTACAGTTATCATCCGATTGACTTCAGATTGATACACAGAGTTAAAGATCTTGAGACGAACAAGTATATTGATTTTCAATGAATTTTGATAACTGGAACAGCTAAATCCATGATATTAAATGTTTCGTATATGAACGTTAGCATGGGGCAGAACTTTATAAAAAACAAACAAATTCTAATGGTTTTCTGATAATTACTTTTTAATGTATAATAAATGTTTCATTACCGAAAAAAGTAAAAATATGCGACAACGCTTTAAACGTATTTATGGTCTTTTATCTCTTTACTTACGAGAGTTTAACTTTCACTCGACACAAACTAGGTCTTTTCGGGACAACCCTGATACATGATTTTAATTTTATTTCAATAATTCGCTTGCGTATAGCAGTGGGAGGAAACCAGTGGACCCGGACAAACACCACGAGGTTGGACAGGCGACCCGACTCCTTGTTACGTACAATCGGGGAATCGAAACCACGCCAGCGGACCCGGAAAAAACACCACGAAGTTGGACATGCGACCCCACTCCTTGTCACGTACAACCGGGGAATCGAAACCACGCCAGTTGACTCAATGATATACCTTATGATTCAGCGCGCACGTGTTAACGATTCGGCCATCCTACCCCCCGCATCAGAACTTTAAGGAATATACAAAGTTTGTCCCATTAAGTTGTTTAGCTAGAAAATGTTCAGCCGTTGACAATTCTGTTATGCGACCAAGAGACATACGTTTCTAAGGAATTCAGCATTTACTTTTTTGTCTATTAATAGATTCCCACACCTTTTTAAAATCAACTTATGAAAATCAACTTGGTGAAATATGAATATAATTATATAATCTTGTTTTTCTTCGTTTTTATTATGTGCCTATAGTTTCACTTAACTCAATAACAGACCTTATGATCTAACTTACGCATAAGGGGATCACGGTGGTAAAGTGGGTAAGACGCTGGCTCGCTAGCCTGGAGGTCGGGTGTTCGAACCCTGCATTGGCCGAGAGAGTTCATCCAGATTTTACGGCGTGGTTCCCCCTTGTCAGTGATGCAGGACGCTGGGCCTGACAAGGACAGCTGTCTAGTCATTTGGATGAGACAAAAAACCGAGGTCCCGTGTACACATTGGCGTGCACGTAAAAGATCCCTTGACAGTTGGAATTCGATATAAGAGTAGGCCGCATTGCAGCTGTCCGGGCAAAATTTCCCCCGTAGCACACTATATGGCGTATGCCTGTCGTCATTAGCCCAGCATAGGAGCAGAACAGTAAGACGTTAAACCCCATTTCATTTCATTTTCACGTACTCATTAAACCATCCGGCGAACTAGGCGATATTTCTGCTGTTTTGGGTATACTTTCTTGGCTGGCAATTTACCTTCACAAATGTAATGGAAGTATTATACAAGTGAGAAGTTTCGTCACAGTATCACTGCAGGTCGGCGTATATTTTGTTACTTAGTCAGGCAACGTGAAGTTGGCACGTTATTCGTGATTCGGGATTCGCCAATAACTGTCAACTGTATTTATAAATTCTTCTGTTAAAGGTGATGAACCTATTAGCACGATGGAACAACAGGGTAGTGAAAATCAATTCACGAACCTAAAGCGGAAGTTGAAAGATACGGAAGAGGATAATTCTAACTTAAGGAAACAAGTCAAGGAATTAGAAAATGAATGTAAGAAGTTACAAACACACCACCTAGAAGAAGTTGAAAGCGGTAAGCATATATTTGATAATATAATCAAACATTTTTACATTGGTCAATGGAGTTAAATTTTACCGGATATATTTAGGTGTTTGGTCTGAAGGTCAATGTCCAGTCCAAACTGGGGATCACGTGGCTAAGTGGGTAACACGCTGGCTCGCTAGCCTGGAGGTCGGGTGTTCGATCCCTGCATTGGCCGAGAAAGTTCATCCCGATTTTCCGGCGTGGTTTCCCCTTGTCTAGTCGTTCGAATGGGAGTAGGCCGTAGCGCCGCTGCCCTGGCAAAATTTCCCCTCATAGCACACTGCATGGCGTCTTCATTAGCCCAGTTTAGGAGCAGAACAGTAGGACGTTAAACCCCATTTCATTTCATTTCATTTCCAATTCAAACTAGCACCATAATCGTAACTCCACTGGTTCGTGCTAGAAATAGAAAAAGACGTCATGCTAGTTAGAGAGAGAGAGAAATGGGGTTTAACATCCACTCGACAAGAACTAGGTCATTTCGGGACTAACATATATGGTTTTAATTTTATTTCAATAATTTTCTTGTGCGTAGGGGTCTTTAGCAGTGGGAGGAAACCGGGGGACCCGGAGAAAACCCACGAGGTTGGACAGGCGACCCTACTCCTTGTCACGTACAACCGGGGATTCGAAACCACGCCAGTTGACTCAATGACAGGCTTTATGATACAGCGCGCGCGTGCTAACCATTCGGCCATCCAACCCCCCGTCATGCTAGTTGGAACACTGAATACTCCTGGGTATTGTTTCCCGCCATGGGGATAGAAGTTGCCTGTCTCATTTTTGTTCACGATATATAGGGTGTTTCCTTTTTATACATCCACATTTTGATGTCGTCGCCCCTGTCCGTCCGGACGTCCGGTCACATTTTCATGTGGACATGTTTATATGTACATATGTTGTCGTCGCCCCTGTCACAATTTGTATCCGATTTTGACAAAACTAGAAAAATGTAATCAAAAAATGTAATAATGTCCCAAAGATCTTGGTTCCGTTGGATATTGGCACATTTCCGATTATGGCCCCTGATAGTACCAAAACTATCTTTGTTGGCTTATTAGAATACAATTATGCCCCAAAGATCTCGATTCCTTTGGATATTAGCGCATATCGGATTATGGTGTCTGATTGTGGTCGTTGGATAATGGCGCATATCGGATTATGGTCTCTGATTTGATTTAACTCTTTAAAGGTTGTAATTTCAAATTATTCTGATTGTGACATTATTATAAGCTAAACAGGGCTAAGCCATTTCATTGGTCGATTATTTTGGACAAGATAACTTTAGTTCTAACTGGTGGAGAGTTATGAAATTTAGTGTATAGTTTCACTACCAGGTACTTCAAAACCTTGACTAAGTATAGATAATCAATTTCATTGCTCGATACTTTTGAAAAAGATAAATGTGCAATTAATTAATGTGTGTCATCTATTTATTTTGGAATTTCGGCGGAGGCATCAGCCTCACTGTTGGCTTGCGAGCTCATGAACACGCTAGAGGTCACATTTTTTATCCTATTTTTAAGAAACTAAAAACATAATGTGTATATCCCAAAGATATCTTGTCCTCATTTGGCGCAAGTCAGACCCTAACTGCCTGGATTATGGCCACTGATTCTTTGAGACATATGGTTGAAATGTAATAATCTGGTTTACATATAGTTGCAAAAACTAAATCAATGAAAGTTCAGTTTTAAAGAATGTATTACCGTAATACCTATTTGAATCTAGGTTGCGGTGTCCGCCTACAATATAAAGTTTTGAGAGCCAAGGTACAAAATCATTGTCTCGTCAGTTTCCCAAGAATGCTCAGGTTATATGAATTACATGCATGTTAAATATTAATAAATAGACATTTGACTTCCGACACAGAATTCCTAACTTCATATCACAGTTTTCATCATTTATTCAAATATTTTTGTTTTTTGTTTCAGGGTTACCGTATGTTGAACCCACGGCCATTAAAGACGAGTTTCCACTGCACCATGCTGCTTTATACGCAACTGATATAGAGGAGTTTAAATCTGTTTTGGAAAAACAGGCCAGTAAGATACGTCAGCTTGATAAAGATGGAGACACGCCATTAGATAAGGCTTGTCTATCACAATATTGTCCGATAGAAAAAGTCAAATTGATTGTCTATAAGGGTTATACAGATGCTGAAACACTGGTTGCAATATGTCGTGCTGCACCTAAAAGTTTATTAAGACTTATTTTTTGTATACCCATGAAAGATAAATTGGACGAATCGGTCATTCGTGCCATGACAGAGTTGAGAAAGCAACTAATGGATGGCGATGATATCGATGCCAGAACCCATTCTGATAAAACGTTATTACATTTTGCAAGCGAATACTGTGATATTGAAGCTATGTCGTTTTTGATAGAACATGATTCTGACGTCAGAAGCATAGATACTGATGGTGCTTCACCAATGTTCTATAGCTGTAAATCTGATAACGACCCAGTTCAGAAAATAAACCTTCTCGAAGCACATGGTGCTATAATTGAATCTAAACCAATATTTAATAAAACATTATTGCACACTGCTTGCGAGTTCAGCACATTAACGGCTGTAGTGTTTTTAATAGAACAGGAGGGACTTGACGTTAATGGTCAGGATTCTTATGGTAAATCTCCCTTATACTATTCATGTAAATCTGATAAGCAGCCTATTGAAAAAATCGACTTTCTAAAATCCAAGGGAGCCTCTCTCAAATGTAGTACTATAGATAACTACACGTTGCTACATGCTGCTTGTGATTACAACACAGCTGAGGTAGTGGAACATCTAATTGAGTTAGGGCTGGATGTTGAGAGTGAAGATATTTATCGGTATACGCCTCTCCACTGCTGCTGTAGATCCCCAATAGATCCAATAGACAAAATTAAGAAACTTGCCGACCATGGCGCCAGGTTTCTTATAAAATTCAGACGAGAATATATTGGAATTGCTAGTAAATTTGATCTGACCGACACTGTGGACTTTTTAAAGAGATCGTTGCCCGAAAACGTTGTACCGGAGGCGGCTAATGAAGGGGAAAATGCGATGGACGTCCCCGTTCCAGCAGAACAAATTGCTAGTTGAGCCTACTTAGTTGAATATAACCACACTTGTTGCCTGTGTGATACCTTCATTTACTATTACTCAAATTATGTAATACATGTATTGTCTATATATGGTATTACATGTAATTCCACATACTGCACGCAGCGACCCATCTACGTCATACTTCCCAGAATGTGACACTGCACTGATTATCCGCCATTTAAAACGCTCATGTGATCATTTTGGGGCGGGACTTATCGACTCGAGACCGCTTTGTTTATGACACTCGCGTAAAAGCGATATATAATATGTGCTATGGATAATATTGCAATAAATTCTTTACCATTGTAAACTGTCTTTAGAGTTTCAATCTGTTTATCTTTCAAAACAAGGTTAGATACTCCTAAATTTGTTTTCGCAAATAAAACCGCCTCTGTGAAATTATGTTTCATGGGCGCTGCCATATTGAATAATTAGAGGACTATTTTGTGATTCGGCTTTGATTAGTTTGACATTTTTCATACACACAGCGGCTAAATAAACATATTTAATTTCATTCAATATGACAATAGAAGAGAAATAAATACTTTTAAAAATTTCTAAAAGCATACTCAGTGTTTTCGACTAAAATCGTCGATGTAGGAATTTAAATGTCGGTTAATAAGCTTAGGGCCTATTCTCAGCCGGAGCTAGCTGTAGATAGGCAGCCTAAGTTTGGGATGGTAATTCCATAGATTGTTACTGTTACCTAATAAGGCACCGTCATAACTATTGGGTTAAAACTATGTACTACTTCTACTTTTACTTTGCACATTGTTACTATTACCTTATAAGGGGCTTCCCTATTTATATATTAAATAATGAATTACTTTTACTTTACATATTGTTACTATTACCTTATAAGGGGCTATCCTAATTATATATTAAATAATGAACAAAATGAACTACGTTTACTTTGTATATTTTTACTATTACCTATGTTTACTCTGCAGATAATTACTATTATCTTATAATGGGCTGTCATAACTATATTAAGTTAAAACTAGGGAACTATGTTTACTTTGTATATTTTTACTATTACCTTATAAGGGGCTACCATAACTATATTAAGTTAAAATCAGGGAACTATGTTTACTCTGAAGATAGTTACTATTACCCCATAAGGTATTACCATAAATATATATTAAGTTAAAATAGTTATTATTACCTTATAAGGGACTACCATGACTACGTAAGTTAAAACTAGAATACTACTTTTATTTTACCGATTGCTATTATTATCGTTTCCAAATAATTAGAGAATTAAGTATTTAATCCCAAAATGTCCTCATACTTTATGTCTGTCGTCGACGATTGCAAACTTTACTGAAGATATACAGGTGCGTTAAATCTAAATGCTAAATCTGCCTACTGCAGTAATTTCGTATGGCCCCAGATGCTATATAAATCATTAGTTTGAGAATTAATACACGAGGCTATAATCGGGTGGTTTTCAGCTTCAACGGATTGAAAATTAGTTTATTACCGTGACACTTGTAGCAGTGACAATCGAGATTACGCCCAAGAATGAAGTAATTTGACAGAAATTCGTATCATATTCCCTTTTCATTTTCTATATTTAAACTATATAGTATCATATTCATTGAAATCTGACTTTAGTTATTATTCAGTTGTTTCTCCCTAATGATTAATGAGCTGTTACTTTTGTTTGTATAGTGAGAATTTTCAGCTCGTCATCGTCATCGTACATAAAGTATATTAAACTAGTTTTCGCTATTGATTAATGCCCTGTTACTTTTGTTTGTATAGAGCGAATCGTCAGTTCTTCATCGACATCTGTTTGCATAGCGAGAATTGTCAGCTCTTCATCGACATCTTACATAAAGTATCTTTAAGCAGTTTCCCCCTAGTTGATTAATGCCCTGTTACTTGTGTTTGTATATAAACCTCCTGTTGTTTTTTTTTTGTTTTGTTTTTTTTTTCATTATAATTTGCTTGATAACGTTGATGGGATTCTCAAAGAAATTATCAACGAAACGTTGCTTTACTTAACATAGTAATTGTGTTCCATATTATGTTTTTTTTTGTGTTTACATCATATTATGTTTTTTTTTGTGTTTACATCATTTGTCATCTAAATACTGCTCAAAGAAGGTATGTCCAAGTTCAAGTCTCACGCTCTGTCTTGACTTACTCTCCATTTTGAATACACTGGTTGGAGTTAAATAGTCATTATGCAAGAGCTAAATCTGTCTTTGGGCCTGAAATGTTATATAAATTATTAATTAGACATTTATTAACAAAATAAGATCATAATCAACCCTCGATGGCATCGCTTACTCGAGATTTTAACTAGATTAGAACGGTTCTCCATTTAAAAATTTAATTTAAAAATTGGAAAGCGAGGCTAGTCTCGAATATAACAGAAGCCTGGTTACCACTATGCACATTATTTTTTGTCCAAACTACAAACAGTGATGATTTGGCTCAGAATGAAGTAATTTGACTGAAATTTTCAATATTTTCTTTTTTTATCATCTATTTTTGAATTATTATAGCAAGTATGACCAACTCTTTATTAAACTAATGTATCTTTAAGTATTGGTAATTTGAAATACATAATTTGTTTGAAATTGAATCATAATATTATAGATACTTTATAGGAAATAATTTAACATCTTTAAATTCTTTCGTTTTTATATATTATGTAAAAATATACTATTTTTATGAATTTGTCAATAATATGATAATATTGATCATTATATTAATTTGAGTCATTACATGTGTTATAATAAGTTTATTTTTTTGTAAATCGAAGTTTGATCGTAAAATAAATTATAGTATCACCCACCCTGAAGTATCATTAAATATAGTATCACCCACCCTGAAGTATCATTAAATATAGTATCACCCATCCTGAAGTATCTTTAAATAAAGTATCATCCATCTATCCAGAAGTATCATTAAATTCATAGTAATCTAATGATCGTTAACGTTACCACGAAAACGTGAAAATATAACTGCCTTATCTATGGGCAGTATAGCTGCCGTATCTATGGCAAATATAACTGCCTTATCTATGGGCAGTATAGCTGTCGTGTCTATGGCAAATATAACAGCCGTATCTATGGGCAATTTGTGTTGTCGGTTGTATGATGTTAAAGCTGGAGTCCCTGTACATGGAGGGCGAATTGGTCTGGGTCCATATATGGACCGTGCTTTAACTTGTATTAAATTGTGAGAATAGAGTGTGAGGGCATACTATTGTGCGGTTAAAGGTATAGGCATACTATACAGTACACATGTATATAGTGTACATACATTATAGACAGCATGTCGGAGCCGTGTAACACACGATCAATGCAGGGCTGTCTTATAAACAATGTCTGTTGACCATGGGAGGGGGGGGGGCGAGAAAGAGAGAGGGGGGGGGGGGGAGATTAAACGTCCATTCAACACAATCTATGTCATTTCGGGACTAATATATGATTTAATTGTATTTCAATACGTCGCTTGCATCTAGGTGTTGTCACGTACTAGCTGAACATCAAAACTACAACATTTAACTAAACACCAGACCTAATGTTCTAAAGTGCACGTTTTAACCACCCTTTACTCCCACAACGGTTGAAGGTAAACAATAGTTGCCATACCCCCCCCCCCCCCCAAAAAAAAAGCCAACACATTTTATCTTCAGTTAACGTGGTGTTTAACGTTCCACAGTTCAGCTCCGACTGGGCTAATGAATACGGGCATACGTCATACAGTGTGCTATACGGGACATCTATGGCTCGGAATCTTTTATGTGCGCGCCAATGTATACGCAGGACCTAGCCAGGTCATCCCATCTGCCGGCTTTACTTTGTCCCTTGCCAGGCCTCCTGTCCTGTGCACCGCTGACCAGGGGGAACCACGCCAGAAAATCACCATGAAATTCTTCGGCCAAAACAGGGATCGAACACGGGACCTCAAGGATAGCAAGCCAACGTCTTACCCACTGAGCCCATGTGCCTCCACCCTCTTCTTAACACAAGGTGTACTGAAAACTTCGTTTGTCATCCCACTCTCCATATGAATTCTAATATCCGCGTGAAAGTGATCAGAAAATTAATTTTACAATATTATACGAAATAATTTGAAATGCAATGATATGAAAATTTATTAAATAAAAAAAATTAATTTAGAAGTAGACAAATTAATTTGAAATGCAGTGATATGAAATGCCGTGCCATATTGAAGGTGATACAAATTAATTTAAAATGTAACGAGATGAAATGCCGTACCATATTGAAATTAATAAGAACATTAATTTAGAATGACACGAATTAATTTGAAATGCAGGATATGAAATGAATTAAACCTAAATTAAATAAAATGAAAAGTGTAAATTCTAACATGTAGTCATGTACCAACTTTTCCATGAACATCGGATAAACCGATTTCAGTCATTCTGTGAAATAAAGCCCCCTTCACCCATACCGAAGACCTCGCTACGGGCCAATAGAGCTCGGTGAGGTCGCGATAAAATGTGTCAAAATCCAATGGTTTCGAGATAACTACGCTCTCAAAACGCGCAAAATTGTCCCCCCCACTTTTCCACGTTCTCACTACGCACAAACCATGCTGGCTACCTATGTTACAGCCACCTTACCTCGACCGGTGGATTTATGGGATATAACCCTAGCCCTAACCCTGAACCTCATCCATTAGTTCCAGCGTATCAGACAAAGAGAAAAATCAAGAAAGCTAACAGAAAATAAAACCTTAACACGATGACCACGACTACCCCCCCCCCCCACTCTCCCTCCTCACGGTACGCTTCCACTACCCCCGCTCTATCCATGTGCTTTCACTTTCACCACGACCTCGCTATACGGCTAGGGTGTGGGTTTCAATATCCGCCTAGTGAGGTCGTTGCCTGCCACACCCTTACCATGATTCCGCCATGCTCTTACTACGGCGGTTGTAGTGAAGAGTGTATACGGAAAACGTATAGTCGTTCGCATGGGACGAACAAACGAGGTACCGTATACACATTGCCCGAGCCAAATGTCCCTCATAGTACACTGTATGGCGTGTGTCCGTCTTCAGTAGCGCAATCAGTCAGGAAGTCAGAGCAGACCAATAGGACATTAAACCCCATTTGATTTCTACTTAACTGTGTATAACGCAGCTGTACGGATTAGTACTTCAAATCATTTGGCAATGAGTCTTGCCCCACTGGCTAACCCCATTCATTGTCTCTATTAGTAAGTGCAGGGGGACTGCACCACACAAAATTTACACAAAAACAGATACACGGACAAGACATCATACTCAGAAAAACACAAACAGACAAACAATTTTAAAAAAGTGAATGGATCCGGGGGCTAGCCGTAAGCGTCCACTGCACTGTACAGTCCCGGGTCTGTAGTGACACAGACTTCACTCAAATTTGAAAACAATTAGGATACAACCCACAGAAACCATTGTGTAATGCCAGCATGAGTCATGATCAGCTATATGCTACACGAAATACGAATGTAAGCATATGTAGTATAATTCAACTATACAAGTAACCACATCGGTGAAATGTATAAAAAAAGCTAGTCTAAACCTAATTGCTCTAAAATCTGTCAAGAAACGTTTCAGTATTCAATGGAATCGAGGTATATTGAATACATATAGGGCACATGATCCATCTGTCAAAAAAGCAAAACTGAATACAAAGAAGCAAATAGGAAAAGTAGACTGTCTCGAAAGACAGTTATCCGGGTTCCTCCCGTGGTTAAATACTCTTCTACTATGAGTGGATCTTTGCCAAGGCAGTGGCGCTACTGCCAGGAGTTCTTTCGTGACATTCGGAGTACTAGATGCTGTTCATTGTAAGCTGTGTCGTCCTGGACTATATGGAAAACCACCCCTGAACCCGAATTGCAGCGTCCATACTAACCGAGTCACTGCAGCTCATAATGTAACATAGTTTATAATACTATACTAAGCAGCAAGAGAGAGAGAGAGAGAGAGAGAGAGGGGGGGGGGATAACGTCCACTCGACACAAACTAGGACATTTAGGGACTAACATATTGTTAAATTTTATTTCAATAATTCGCTTGCGCTTAGGGGTCTTTAGCAGTGGGAGGAAACCGGAGGACCCGGAGAAAACCCACGAGGTTGGACAGGCAACCCTACTCCTTGTCACGTACAACCGGGGATTCGAAACCACGCCAGTTGACTCAATGACAGGCCTCGTGATACAGCGCGCGCGTGCTAACCATTCGCCCCCCCCCCCACTAGTTAGCACCAACGGTAAACAATATATTGAAAACATTTTGAATGATATTGACGAGGTGAAAACTAAGTCGACGAGAAAAAAAATAAAGGGTATATCCTACATGCTCACATTCAAAGGTACAAAACTATTCTTCTGAATAGAAAACAAGAAACAAAATAAATTCGGTTATTCAACGACTAACTAATGAAAATAATCAATATTTCCGATTCTAATAAAATGCAGTTTGAAATGTATAGATTTTATGACAAATTGTATTCACAAACCATAATAAATGATAACAAATACGCATTAATGTACCTCGCATATTTGAACACAAGTTTAGTTATTATAAATATAATGCTCTCAAATCATTCAATAACGGGTTTAATGTTGAATTTTACAGAAAGCACTAACCAATCCATGTACCAAATCCGTTCAATTGTGCTTTGAAAATGGAAACTTAGCTACTAATTCCAAAATCTGGAAAATAATAACTAGTTAGCTTAATTAATGTAGACGTGGATATCTAAAAGAAATCAATGCCCATAAAAAATGAAATGAAATGAAATGAAATGGGGTTTAACGTCCTACTGTTCTGCTCCTAAACTTGGCTAATGAAGACAGGCATACGCCATACAGTGTGCTATGAGGGAAATTTTGCCCGGACAGCGGCACTACGAAATACTCTTTTATCGAATTCCAACAGTCAAGGAATCTTGTACGCATGCCAATGTGTACACGGGACCTCGGTCTTTCGTCCCATCCGAACGACTAGACAACTGTCCTTGTCAGGCCCTCGGTCCTGCATCACTGACAACGGGGGACCACGCAGGGATCGAACACCCGACCTCCCGGCTAGCGAACCAGCGTCTTACCCACTTAGCCACCGTGCTACCGTGAAATGTCTGTTGCTAGGTTAATTTAACTACTGAGTCTTTGATGATTCACACCGGTTCGGATTGTACTATAATATCACCTGAGGTTTATGATAAAATAAAACATAAGCCACACAAAATTAGGGATATTACAATTCATACTGTAGCCGAAAATATAGCATTTCCTAGTTTCCTAATTGGTCCTGTTACTCTCTGAATAGGGTCGTTTACGTTCACGGATAATGTATATGTAGCTTCCATAGCTGATACAGCTTTACTTGGTTTATATTTTTTTAGAAAATGGACAGATATCATAAACTTATTATATAAGTGTTTAATATTAGGTGATGAGACTATTCCCATGGTAACTGGGGGTGCTTTCCTGGGTCAAACATTATTGGTACATGATCATGGAAGGAGAAACAGACTCGAAATATATATTGTGTTACCTTTAGTCCGGTGGCTGAAGGGGGGGGGGGGGGATCGCCACCCGAGCTGTAAATTTTTGAGACCAAGTTTTTCTAGACCAGTTTTTTGCGTAGATTCCGAATCTGGGTGGTGATCAGGCGTTTGAGGGGTCGTTTTCGAGATATAGGTGGTCAAATGTCTACAATAGTGGGGGGGGGGGGGGGTGATGTCATTATGTTGTCATAATATATTAATAAACCATAAATTTCTAAGACTGCTCATCTATAAAAAAGTGTTTATGATGCCCCTGGACA